TATTGTTCAATGCTCACAACCTGATGCTTTCTGGCTTCTTTTGCTTGGATGGAATACTAGCACCTACCTATTCATTTGATATTAAGAGGGCAAAGACCTATTGGTAAGCCTAGATAAACATGGTCATTCAGCGAGAGTGAAAGGGCTGAGTCCCATCATTGACCTTGATAACACCAGGGAAGTCTGCTGTCTTCTGTTGGCTCGTTGCTGCACACATCTGTTTGGCTTGAAATGAACTGAAGCTGTGGAATACAGAGCCACAGTGCTGCCCCACTTCCTGGGTAGCTTCCCACTAGCTTTCAGTTGTTATTTTTCGTTTCTTATCTTTCTTTTGTTCAAAAGCTGAAAGATGATACTAAATCGTTTAAGCATAATTTGAGATATAGAACATGAACAAGAATTTTTTGAAACGTTGCTGATAAACGATGTTTACTTCCGACAAGCTAGAGACTGTCGTGTCCAAACTGTCATCATGTTCAGGTTGTTCAATTCAATTCAATTAAATTTTATTTGTATAACGCCAATTCATAACAGAAGTTATCTCAGGACACTTTTTCAAATAGAGCAGGTCTAGACCGAACTCTTTATAACATTATTGACAGAGACCCAAGAGTACCACCATGAGCTAGACCTTGGCAACGGGGGCAAGGAAAAACTGCCTGTTGAAAGGCAGAAACCTAGGGCAGACCCTTCGGCTCTAGGTGGGTGGTCGTCTGTCTCGACCAGTTGGGGTGAGAGAGAGAGAGAGACACAGGTGCACAGCAACAACAGTAGCAACAATTACAGGTTTTTTGCTATTTCCATGAAGAAATGGCAAGTATGAAGTGTTCCCCCAGAGTTGTCAAAGGCAGAGTATTGAAATTCTCGTAGGTGGGTGAGCAGCTCCTCGGGGCAGGAAGCAAGCTTTACTGCAGGTATTACTGACTGACAACCAACTGTTTTGTAAAGCCTCCTACACTTGAATGATTTTTTTCATTTCTCACTGGGAATAAATACAGAAATGTCAAAAATAATGTATTGGAGAATGACAGTTCTTATAAAAAATGTAAAATCAGTCCCAGGGTAAAAATCAATAGTGTTCTCGAGAATCTTACACCCCTAGTTTTTGGTGGTCTTACAGTTGGGTGCTGGGCCCACCACTTTGGTCCAGACTGAAATATTATTTGAATTGCCATTTACTAACATTCATGGTCCCCAGAGGATGAATCCCAATGGCTGCAGTTTTGAGTGAAGTATTTCGACAACTACTGGATGGATTTAGGGCTACAATTACCAGTTAAACGTTTAATCGTTTAGTCTACACAGTGTGAAAAAATCCCAGAGCCCAAAGTGACATCTTCAGATTGCCCTTTTTGTTTGTCAAAGTTTACTATCATAAATGCCAAAAAAAAAAAGCAGGAAATCCTCACATTCAAGCAGTCGGAACAAGGAAATGTTTGAATTTTTGCTAAATGATTAAGGGATTATTAAAATAGTTGGCAGCTAATTTTCTTTCAGTCTACTAATGAATTAGTCAATTTGTCAGAGCTCTAGATGGATTGCCTTGAAATTTGTGTCAGACATTCATGTTCCCCTCAGGAAGAATTGGAATCACTTTGGTGATCTACTGACTATTCTATCGCCACCATGATTTAAAAAGTATTTCCCAATACTTCGGGTTATGACCAAATAAAAAACTTATGTCATTCCCATCAGCCTCAGCTGTATTTGTATTGTATTTCTTGCTAATTTGCAAATGTTAGCACCTCACTAAAATAAGATGTTGAACATGGTAAACGTTATACTTTTTAAACACCAATGCCCTTGCCTCACCCTCCCCTTCAGCAAAAAAAGTTCCTACCTAGAGCTGCAACGATTAGTCAACTAATCGATTAAGCGATCAATGAAAAATAATCTTGAATTATCTTGACAATGGATTTATTGTTAGTCATTTTTCAAGCTAGATTTCCTGCTTTTCGCTGTTTTATATCATATTACACTGAATATCTTTGAACTGGCAAAACAAGACAAAAGACCTCATCCGGGACATTGAGAAACTGGGGTGGACATTTTTATTATTGTCTGATTAATGAATAATCTAGAAAATAGTTGGCAGATGAATCGATAATGAAAAAAATTATTAGTTGCAGCTCAACTGTAGGAACATGGTAGTCCAACATGGCGGACTCTGTAGAAGAGGACCCACTCCCTTTGTAGATAAAACAGTTCATTTTAAGGTAACAAAAACACAATGATTCCTATATTCAGGTGATTGTTCACAAATGAAAAGACAACTTTGAATATTATATTCCATTTCTGACAATAGATCCTCCTAAATGTTACACACTGGACCTTTTACATTTCGCTCAAACCGCCAGTTTGCCTGAGCACAACCTCACAGAGCTGCTAGCATGGCTGTAGACTATTGTCTGGTTATGACATTGTCAAAGCAAATTTACATCTTTACTTTGAGATTTTGTTTGACTCTCGGGCACACTGACTTTAAATGTGTGGTGTTGCCATGCTGTTGAAAGGTAAGAGTTGGTAAATGTGTAATGGTAGGACTGAAGAGAAACTCATAGCATCCCTGATGGGTAATCCTGGCTTGTAGGATGTGCAAATAGTCAATGACAGGTCTTTACATAACTCTTGCAGTGGGAAATGTGGGCGCCTCAGGCGAAAAGGCAGATCATGTAGTTGATAATTTGAACAGCAGGGAAGCAAGGCAGGATGCAGTCTCTAACTCCAGAAACAGACACGTTTAGGCAATATCCGTCATACATCCATCGTTTATCCATCATTTTGCAATTTGTAATCGTGCTAGTACAGAGCAATAAAGTGAACATCTGTGCAGGGGTCCAGGGAAGAGTTTGGAAATAAGCAATCATTCTGCTTTCAGTGCCACAAATTAGGGCTGCACCTAAACAATTATTTTCTTTATTTTAAAATATGTTTATATATTTAAAGACATTTTTTTACATAAAAAATTTAAGTTGTTTATCTAAGAAATGACAAAAAATAGTAAAAGAAAAAAAAAAGAGCCTGAGGTCACATCCTCTAACTGCTTCCTTTGTCTGACCAACAGTCCTACCCAAAGATATTCAAGTTACAATAACATATTAAGAAAAACCTGAGCAGCTGGGACCAGGCAATGTTCCGCCTTTTCTCTTGATAACTGACTCGATCAAATTAATTTATTAATTTAATCTTTTCAGCTCTACTGGGTAAGAAATTTCGGATTACATATTTTTCAAGGGTAGACGTGACATTACTTAGCAGCTTTTAGATAAGCAAATTACCAACTGTGCATTATTGCCTTAAGGTTGTCACACAAGGTTGTTGAGATAATTGACTTGTGGAAGGACGTACTACTTCAGGATAAAGGTACGACACTGAAATGGCAACGCTGTGTTTGTGCAGTGCTGTAATTAGTGTGTGTTTCTAACAGCACGTTACAGTGTATGGTGCTGTTTACCTTGGTGAAGTGTTGTATTGTAGCAGGGTTTCACAGATTTCAACTGTTTAAATTTAAGACATTACTTTTTTTTATTTATTTAAGTCTATTATAAAGGCAAATTAAGACATACTTGTATTTTACGTCAATACTGGAAAAACAACTATAAAGGATATCAAAAATTATCTATATCTCAAAATTATATTTAAGACATTTAAAGGCCTAAAATGCAGATAATTGGATTTTAAACTGTTTAAGACCCTGAGGACATCCTGTGTAGACTCATTAGTGCTAACATCGGGGACAAATACCTTTTTTTTTCTCCGATGGCCGATGATTCTCACAGGACACTAACTGGTCCAAACCACTGTGGTTGGACACAAGCGCTTAGCTTGAGACCTTGCAAGATGAATTCTCCCATGATCTCGCGAGTCTAGCGTCCTAGCAAGATCATTACAGCACTGGCTTGGTATCGTCTTGTATCAAAGTGCAGTAAATAAAATTCTTTCTGCTCATATCATCGGTTTGCAGTGTGAATATTTGGCCTTGTGCGGAAAGTTCAGACTTTAAATTCGTAATCCTCAATCTGCACTGCAGCTGTGTGTCCTTCTGTCTGTGTGTCTGTGCTGCTTACCTGACAAGTGTAAGATGGATTGAAGCGGAGAGAGATGTGTCATTCCTTTTGAAAAATCTGAGAGCAAGACACACTGCTGTCAGTGTGGTCCATCCTTGATATGAAAGACTATATTGTGTAGTCGCTGTATGGAAAGTCCTTAACCTGCTCTAAATCAGACATTTGGATTTCACGTGATAGTGATGATTTCAACCACCAGCTACCTTGGTAAAGTGTTGAAGCCATCTAAGTGCTCCAGGTAGTTCCTCTAATGGCCACTAGATGCTCCCTTCTCCATGAACACTTTAACTATGTTGAAGTGAACTGGAAAAAAACTCAAATATCTAAATGTAAAAGTGTTTCAATAGACATTCAAGGAATCAAGGTCATTTATTTGTCATTTAAGTTTTTAAAACTTAAAAAATACTATGTTATATCGGCTTAGTAGTAGTTGAGCACCTTTCTTGCCTAACTAATACTTTGTTACCTGAGTTCACTGTTTCTAATGCACGTCTTTCCATTCAAGTGAGTGGGTGGAGTCTCACATCTCTGATGGGAAGAGAAACAGACTAAGCTGCAACAAGGCAGAGATGATACAACCAAAAAACAATGGCACTGGTTATTGGCCATATTGTTATTCAGTATCAGTGCATCCATAGTTTTTACTTGTTCTTCGACCAAACACTTTCTCAATAAATTAGAATATTTAATTTATATTATAGCCAAAGCTTCATAGGTGGTCCGTCAGGCCTTCTTGATTTTAAGGTGCGCTAGAAAACTTTTAAAAATATACATTGTTATACTGCAGTTTCTTTTTGTACTTAAATGTTGAAGTGGCAACACCAGCAGTGGCCCCAAGCTAATATGAGTTTGAGACCCCTGCTTTAGATGAACTACATTTGATTTATTGAAGAATTTTCTTAATCGTTTTGTGTTGCTGTTTCTTTACTGCAGCTCCCTATCCTGGCCTCCTCGGTTGTCAGTCTTTATTTCCTGGAACTGACGGATATTTTCCAGCCGGTGCATTCTGGGTACACTTGTAATGACCGCAGTCTGTCTCTGCCCTACATCCTGCCCAGACAGGAAGTCTGCCCGCTGCCTTTACTCTTCAGCTTGGCGTTTGCCGCTCCCACCGCCACCGTAAGTAAACCTCTAAGCCTCTTCGGACTCCACACTGGACCTCGGCATGTGTATGTATGTACATGTGGCTAACACGCCCTGTCTCTGTCTGATTTCAGAGACTGTGGTTATACATGTTAGTGACCCAGTTTGTTTCTATGAACTACTCTGTTACCATAAATAAACCTTTATGATAACCCCAGATGACTATCTATTCCTCCCCTGGCGAATAAATGTGTAGAGACATTTATAGACATATATATATATATATATATATTCCTGGGTTGCCCCCTCGACTCAGTGCAGGTGGTGGGAGAGAGGAGGATAATAGCAAAGCTATCATCACTGATGGACAATGTCTCCCACCCCATGCAGGACACCATCAGTACACTGAGCAGCTCCTTCAGCGACAGACTCCTTCACCCCAAATGTGTGAAGGAGAGATATCGTAGGTCCTTCCTCCTTCCTGCTGCTGTCAGACTGTTAAACAACCAGCACTGCTCCCAGTAATTTTATTTTATTTATTATTTCCCTACTCTTACTGTTTTTTATACTGTTTGATTTTCTCTATCCACTTTGCTGCTGTAACATTGGAATTTCCTCATTGTGGGACAAATAAAGGAATATCTTATCTTATTTTATCTTATCTTATATATGTAGTAAATTATGTTTCAATGGGAAAAGCATCTTTCCGAATGAAGTGGTCTCCTGCACATTGCAGATTTAAAAATGTGCCCATAATGCTGTGGGAGTCTGACCAGAGCCTGTGGGAGTCTGAGTGAAAGCACTAAGTGGTTTCCATGCAACACTAACATTCGATGGGAATAAGCCAGCCATTTTAACCATGTTGACTAGATTTCTTTTCAGCCAACTGCCATTTGTTGAGTGAAATTGCCTAGTGCAGTTCTCAGTCATAATTTCTTCTCTGATTTCAATTCACTTGTGGTATGCAGCATAAAAATACAGCCATGAAATGTTTCAAATCATGTTCTTCAGATGAGAATTAATTTATTAGAATTTCCATGATTTCACAGAGGTCGTAGAATCTGATTCAGTTTCTGCTAGTTTTGTATTTTTTCCTACAGGGCTTCTTAAAAAACATTTAGTACCATTCAATAAATGTTTTATATCTAGCATCTATACCAGAATTACTTTACAAAACATTGTCATGATGTGAATATCAAAACAAGCTACAGTGTCGTCATGATATGACATTTCTTTATGACATTAAGCTTAAGAGCGGTCTTATCATGAGCGGTGTGATATGGAGCACCCCTACACACTAAGAAATACAATGTTATGGTCACTGGTTCTACAAAACTTGTTGAATAAATGGGGAAAAGACTAGAAAAGTTTAAACCACTGTTCTGTCATCAAGCAGTAGCAACATGTATCAGCAACAGTCACTGTTCTGCACACTTAAACATGTTTTTTGAGCTGTAAACTAAATTGACTGAACAGTGACGAAACACATCAATAACGGCATTAATATTGACATTCTCATCTAATTTCTAAAAATCTGCATTTCATTTCTTGAACACACTATCTCCTGTTTTAAATCACGCTGAATCTTGTAAGGCCAATGCTGATAGAGTTGTCGGATTGGGACTTTATGTCATGACATTTCTATTAATTCCCCCACTTTTATGTCACTGAACGGCATTGACCGTTCAGAGTCAGCCTTGACGGTTGAAGTGGAGGACTTGGACCAGTCCTGTGCAGAAGTGACAGCTGTGGTAGGTCATTAATAGAGTAACATTACCGTAAATGACTTTTTTACTACATTGTTATTAAGTGACTGCCAAGAGAGGAGGCAAGCCCCACAACCTGGATGATGACGCACAAGGAATCCCAAATTAGGCCCACACCCCCCAAATGAGAGAAGGATTTTTCTGAGCTGCAGTGCATCCTAGTTGAAAAGGAAACTCAAGACAGAAACTAGAAATTAAACTTCTCCAGAGTCAGCAGAGCAGATACAAATTGTCAGAACAAGACAATGTGTCATTCACCTGTAGGGAAAACTATTTATTGTTACTATTCACCTTATGCTGTGAATAAACCAGGGTACTTTCACATTATGGCGCTTTGTATTTGTACTTCCGTTTTAGAGTGGAAGTGCTGTTACTGTTTAGCAACGCTAGCCTTGTTCTGAGTTTCTCACCGTTTAGTTGCCAGAAGCTTGTTCTTTGAAAGGATGCTACAAGAACTTTAGGAAGAGAAAGGAGTTTTTAAATCAGGAATGTTTTGTTCATCGTCCTCTGATCCGTTCACAATGTTGTGGTCCCCCGTACAATTTACATCCACCACCGAGGGACAAAGAACAGTTGAACCAACAGACCAACACCCCCTTCCCGAAAAGTTCCTGGACTACAAAGTAGCCGTTAAGAAGCCGTGGAGGGTTTTGGAGCAGGCAACACGTGAGTCTGCTTTATGGATGTTTATTTATGTACCGTTAGCAAGTGCATCTTCTAGCAGCTGTCCATGGTCCGGAAAATGTAATGCTGCCTCAAACAGAACACTGTTACCTAGAGATACAATTATAATTCACGAAAATAATCTGATCTTATTTTGGAGTTGTCAGTGTACTACTGTTAATACTTTCATACAGGTCAACTGAGTTAATAAAAAAGACTTGACTGAACTACTACTAAAGAACAGTAATTCCACAGTATAACATTAGCAAATACAGGTAAAATGATTTGAGGATGTACAATGGTGTATTGATAAAGAGCAATATAAGTTATATTATTATGTAATTATATAATTCCTATGCAAACTTATTACAATACAACAAACTTACAATATTACAAATTAAATGTGTAAAAACAGGTGATGATAATACTGACCATTACTTTGGCCCACATGTTCCTATTGTTTTCTTTTCTGTTAATGTTGAACATTTAAACCGATGAGGATGGTGATGCTAATGTACTATTATTATTATACTAAATTAGTTTTTATTATTTGTCTTGACTTTTTTTATCTTTAACATCCAAAAACTATGAGCAAATGTTCCATCATACAATTTTAAACATATTTGTTTTACATTGTATTTTTTGTACTTTTCTTCATCACAGATGATGATGTACAGCCAGCCACAGCAAAACCAGTAGCTGTGGAAGTTGAGGAACCCAGATTTAAAGATGCGCTGACCCAGTGGGAAGATTCCACAATTAGCAACCACAATTAGTGCCTAATGCCACTGAGATCCACCACATGTGACAAAGGGACACAGTGTTGCAAGGAACCCCTTTACAAAGGCTTGCTGCACACAGATGCACTTGTCTTCTCCATACTGCTTGCCCCTTTCAACTTTTCATTTGTTGGCACAAAACCTTTTGCCTTCGTACAGTGCCAGCTTTCAGCTCAACCCAACTGATCAGCTTCTGATGACACTGATGAAGCTCAAGCTCAACTCGCTCCAGGAATACCTGGTAGAGAACTTTAATGTTGTACCTGATGGAGAACCACATGAGGAGCTACATCCCATGGCTGCCCAAGGAGACAATAGTTGAAACAATGCCCGAGTGTTTCAAAGACCATTATCCAGGCACAACCTGAATAAATTGACCGTTCAGAAACCAGCCCGCAGAAGCCCCAAAACCTTGCCTCCAGGGGAGAGTCCTTTAGTCATTACTATGGGCAGAACACAGTGAAGTTCATGGTTGCCATTGCACCTTGTGGCTTGATAATGTTCATCCCTCCAGCATATGGAGGAAGGAGTAGCGACAAGTTCTCATGACCTCTGACTCAGGGTTCCTCAACAGGGTTCCAGGTGATGAGGTGATTCCTGATCGTGGCTTCAGGTTGGGGTAAAGTTGACCATTCCTGGCCCCCTCCTACCTCGCAGACCTTCTCCATCGCCACACTTCTTCCTGAAGCTTTTCCAACGCCAACCTCCTGTCTGCACTACTGAGGACCAAGCATTGTACCTGGGGCGACCGAGCATTCTCCATAGCTGTCCCCTCCTTCTGGAACTCTCTCCCCAAACACATCCGGGACTGTACCGATCTGTGATTTTGTAAAGTGCATATGTTTACCATTATTTTATTTTTTACATAAAATTAACTACTATTTATTTCTTTTTTCACAAAAAGAAATAAGACAATTAGAAATAATTGTAATTTTGTAAGGCTTACAAGTTGTATTATGAATTATAGGTTTGTTTATTTAAAATAAATGGCATGAATCCCTTAAACCTGTCATTTCATTGTTTTAATTGATAACAGCAAATATTTACACAACAACAAATTACATTTATGAACAAATTTAAGTGTGACACATGCTCAAGAGTTTGAGGTCACCTGTTATATTAATGTTTTTCTAATGTTTACTTTAACAAAAATAAAAACAGTATAAGTCAGACATCAAATCTATTATTTAAATCATTACTGTAGAAACATGGCGGACTCTGTAGAAGAGGACCTGCTCCCTCTGTAGATAAAAAACAGCTCATTCTAAGGTAAAACACGATTCTTATTTTCAGTTGAAAATGCCATGACAGTTAGACGGAGCTACAGAAAGCCAGTGGATGTGACTGTTATTAGCAGCGGACTTATTGACTACTGATGTGTGGGAGAGAAGTTTTTGCCTGTTTGAGAAGTATTTAGTGAAACGCTGTTCGCTAGCAAACTATGATTACTATTGCTATGTGATTGTGACAAATTTTGCTATTCAGTGTCCTTATGTTTTCACAGTTACCATGGTAACATACTCTAAATAATCTTTTCTCACTAAAGCTTATGAGTGGCATGCTCTTGTCTCTTCAATTAACTGGAAGAGGGCTTGTCTGCCAAAGCACAACATTTCAGTCGGCTCACTCTCTGAATAGATGTCCAGCGGGTGTGAGTGATCACGGAAGACTCTTTGGTATCTTAATGCCCTTTCACACACTGCCATAGTTGATTTTCTTTCCTGGTTTTGTGATCAAATTTTTTCCTGCTTTTATTACCACGGATACTAGGTCTGACTCTTCCAGCTTACGCCTGCTCCATACTAGGTGTAGAAGTTACACCCAGGCGCAACACAAACAGAGCTTAAGAGGACGTCAGAGGGGAAACCAGACTATTTTTTCCAAACAATATGACCCAGTTTTTTTTTCTTCACATTAATCACTGAGGCCTGGCGCTAATAAACACTCTAGCTAGATAGCTAGCTAGCTAACAAATCTCAGCTCTGTGTCACTAACATTTGAAGATTGATTGACAGGTGGATGTCACAATATTATTTGTTGAAATTGATTGGATCACATTTACAGAAGAAAACATCACACTGTGTTTAACAGGAAGAAAAAATAATAGGATTTGGATATAAAAATACAAAGAACATTTTTCCACCTTAATAAAAATAATTATCAAAAATACAACATGGAGTCAAAAAGGAAAACTTTTTTGTAAAACAAAAAATATTGGAAGGGATAATCTAGCCACACCTTGAGTCTGGTGGGAACATGTCCATACACAATTTTTGTTTATCATTGTTTATACATTTCCAGTAGTTTGTCTTATAAAGACGTGATTTGCAAATGGTCACTGCTCTGGAGTGTCCTCTTCAGCTTAACTACTACAACAGATGCAATATCATGAATACCTGTACAGTCTCATGCAATCCAATATGGTAACATTAAGATGTAATAGTACAGAAAATATAATTGTATCAAGTTTCCATGGCATAATGAGGCAAGAAGAAAATTATTATAGATTTATTTATATTTTATACTTATAGAAAATGTAAAGTCCAGACAGAAGGGCTGGTCAGCAGGTTCAGCTTCTTCCTGTGCTGTGCTCAGGTAAATTAACTTTTCTTCCGGTCTTTATCCAGTAGCCATCAGATTCATCCAGTGGGGCTCAGTGCTGAATCCTCTCATCCAGGGTCTATTTTTTGTAGCCCCATGTATAGACTACAGGGATGCAAACAACTCATATTTCTGTGAATGTCACATTTTTTACATCAATCGTGAGTGAATCATCCAAATCCAAAAAGTTTTTTTCGCTAATCACATCGACTCTCAGCTGAGGGAATACGTTACGCAAATAAGTCACCTAACAAAGCTGTGTAATTACAGTAGCGCAAACTTTATGAACTGTGTTGGTTTTTTGACATGTAAATCTACATGCATTCAGTTGGTAATTCAGAAAATCTTTTTATTACTATTATTTAGTTTATATAGCCATGACTTTTAACATCATTAGCTCTAAGTTAAGTTAAAATAAGTTAAAATCTTGCAACCATCAGCCCACCAACCAGCAACTGCCAATATATTTGCACATGTATGTGTGCTACATTTCACAAGCTCTTTAAGCTTTAATTAACAAATAAACTCACAAAATATCAATTAAGGAAATTTAAAAGCAAAGGCATGGTGCATTTTGTATGCGTTTTTTTATCCATCATCATATTAAACTTGCTACACACAGAAACCTTGCACACTAACTCTGTTGGGTTTTACTATTCTTTTCATTGAAAAACAAAAAAAAATATGACCCCTTGGACCCTTTATAGGACCTTTCTTTTTCTACTTTTGAGTGAGAGGACCACAAAATCACCCTCATTGTGTGATGACTCCATCTTGTGTTGGGTATTTTACAACAAATATAATAACCTCAAATTTGAACCTTTCCTTGGATCACCATCCATATAAGGTACCTTCATCAGAAACTGGGGTCACTGCGTAACGTCATCAATCTAACGACCCATGCTGCTGTCACTCTCAGCAACAGTCACAAATTCATCACAACTTGCCACTAGATGGCGGGACACACAGACCAGTTTCAGGATTCGTGTATATTCATGTGTGTGTGGCGTACCACACATGAATATCTGGAGAGAGAAACTCTTTCACTAATGTTACTTCTTTTCCTAATAATATAATATGTTGATTATGCAAACTTGATAAGTCACAGGTTAGTAATGTCACTGAACAAAGTCGTCTAATTGCGGTAGCTCTAACTATATGCATCGCGTTATGGTTTTTTGCCATAGTAATCTACATGCATGCATGGTGATGCCCCTGTGTGTTTGCATCCCTGAGAATCATTAAGGCCGCTATCAGTAAGCTCCCAGCCCAAGCTCTCTAAGAAGACGAGGAAAAACTCCTAAAATTCTTCGTACATAAGGAAAAATGGAGAAACCTTGGGAGAGGCAATTCAAAGAGTGATCCCCTCTCCACGGACAGCTGTGTGCTTGAAGCGTTGTCAGAGAGGGAGACTGACACAACAGTAGCTGTGTCCACGTTGAACTGATAACAACATACACATTGTGGCCACCAGCCTCGGTCTCACTCTTCTGCTTCAAAGAGGGAACCACACATGGGAACTACAGCAGCATTGATCCTGGATGAAGGGGTGCTGGAAGTCCATCTGCAGTCCTGGGCGGTCTGTTTGTGGTCCCGGCTCTCTATCTGTGGTCCTGGGAGGTCAATTTGTTGTCCTTGGAGGCACAGCCTGAATCACATCAGCCAGGGGTGGTGCTTCAGTGTGTTCAGGGTGGGTCGGGCCGTTGAACTCTTGACCAGACAGCTCAATAGAAAACCCTGGCAGTCTGGACAGACAAACAGTCAGTCAGTTTTTAATATAAACACTGTGCTCTCTGTGTCTTTCTGTGTGTGCTTGATTCTACTGTATGTTTTGTGACTTACCTAAGGAAAGACCGTCTCTGATGGGAGGGTTTTCATAGATGATCTCAGTGCTGTTTTGGAAGGGGAGAGCTCTATGCAGAATTCCATACAGCACTACACCGAGCTGCCATACTGTAGTCGGTCCGGCCCTGTACAACCCATTAAGGAACCACTCAGGGGAACCGTAGATGTAGGTTCCTACAATACACACAGAGACAAAAGTTTAATGGTGAGGGACACACGTAGAGGACAGAGACAGCAAAGATGCTAGGTTGGCTCAGAGAACATAGGACTATAGGAAAGACAACCTACCTTGTTCCTTAATGTAAATCCCCTCTGACAGATATGTGCCACAGCCAAAGTCAATAAGCCTGACACGTGGGACATCATTGCCGATTTCAATGAGGATGTTGTCCATCTTGATGTCCCTGTGGAACACACCTCTGGAGTGGATCTCAATGAGAGCATCAACCAGCTGTTTTACTATTATCTGAGGGAGAGAGAAAGAGACATGTAAATTGTGTGACATAAGATGAGATGCTCCTTTATTGATCCCCTGTGGGTGATATTCAAGTTCACACAGCAGCACAGGGGAAATGTAGTGCAAAAGTATAAAAATACAATAAAAGATATAGCAGAAAATATAAAGACTATAATGAAAATATATACACTATATGCAGTATGCAGCAAGAAATAAGGTGTGCAAGAATATTTTAAACAGTGCATGACAATAACTGTGCATGTGAAATTATTACAAGGTAAAGTTTGTGCAAAGAAGCGCAAGACATGACGGACGTCAGCTACTTACTTTAGCCTCCTGCTCTGGCAGAGCGGACCCTCTAGAGTTCATATAGTCTACCAGGTCCATGCAGGGGTCTGGTCTCTCTAGGACAAGAATCAGCTCATCGTCCAGATCATACCAGTCCAATAGTGTCACAGCTGCACTGGTCTCTGCTGCTGCTGGTCTGAGTTTCAGCAGCAGTGCCACCTCCATAGGGATCCTGCAATGTCTCCCACCCAGATACTTTATACATAGTAAAAGAGGAGCAAAAGATAACAATTACTAAAACCTTCATGCATGCAAAAGTTTCTAACTCTTAGTCTGTATGAGGTACAAAAGGAACATGAACATGTCCATATGTTCCCTTTGTACTCAGTCCCTTCAGGATTTTGCTGTGTTTTTTTGGGATTGTTGCGGCCTAAAATGCCTGATTTCACAGAAGCTTTTCTAAAAAATTGTGACACGTGTACCCATTTGGAGTGTTCAAAAATCTGTCCAAAGGGTAGGATTATGAGGGTAAATATGAGACGTTTGTGCCGCACATGTCTGCATGGTCTGCATTTTCAAAAATGGAGCGAAGCTTGCGAGCTAGTTCAGGCAGTCAACTCGTGCTGCACTGATATACTCCCATCACATGCCTCACTCCATAATCACTAACCAAGCGCACCCTTCCAATCTGGCGGTCTATTTAAACTGCACAATTTCCCAGCTCTCCCTCTGCTCTGTCAATGCTGCTGTTGCCCTGCATCGGCATTGCTGCTGCTGCGCTGTAAGCCCCACCACCACCCCAGCATCCACCTGTAGGCTCCAGCTAGGGGTTTAAGGTATTTGCTCATCACTCCTCAATATCTCTATGTAAACATATCTGTGGGGAATGATGAGGTCGGAGCCTAGACATCAAAATCTACCTATCCTATACCGTTGTAATAAACATTTCAAACGTGAGTTGTCTGACTGAAATAGAAACAAGGTAGTACAGGTGTCTGTGCACAGATCAGTTACCATGTATTTTATTAGACCCTGCTACTTCACCGCAGTATCCCATTCCCCATTTTTTTCCAACGTAACAAAGTCATGTCCTACCTACTCTGATTCTGACTTTGACAAAGGATTTAACTTGAGCCAGGCCATACAATGATAGAAATCATACAGGCTTAGTAGTATATGCTTGTTAAACAATAGTAACACATATCGTATCGGTACTCAGTATCGGCCAATACGCAAAGTTCAGGTATAGGAATCAGTATGAGGAAAGAAAAAAATGGTATAGGAATGTCTCTACTCAATGTTTTATGCTGGAGACTACATTGATAGGATCAAATTGGAAGGTTGTGCAGAATACACACGGATTGGTTGAATTTAGGTTAATTGTTGCAATTGCAACATCGCAACTTCAGTATAAAACCAAATTGTTTTAAAACTCAAAACCTGACCCAAATTTTTTGAGTTAAACAAAATTTTGTAAATTAAATTTCAGTTAAACTAACTTCAGGACAAAGAACAAAACACTTACCATTGATGTGCGGCCAACCGATATCTGTGGGATATATTTTATGGCCACCTACAGTACAGAAACAGACAATTTGGTTAGCTTATGCTATGCACAGAGAGGATACAAGAATCATTGTGTGTGTTTATGAGTCTTACAGGCAGATTGTCGTCTTTGCGGTAGCCAGCATAGACTGACCCGAAGCCTCCTTCGCCCAGCATTACCCCCTCTGTGTACTTGGCCTCAAAGGCAGCTGCAGAAACATATACAAACCAAAACAGTTTGATTAGACTTGTTCACAACTTTAATTGATCACAAACATAAACTAACCCCCAATAATAACCCCTAATGATTTAAAATTGAATCCTATTAAAGCCCAAGGGTGAACCTTAACTCTTAACCTTAAGAATAACTTGACCTTTTTGACATTTAGACCAGCTGCTGATTAGCTTATCTTAGCACAAAGACTGGAAACAGCTTGCCTGAATCTGTCCAAAGGTAACAAAAGTAAGTATATCGATCACATCTAACCTCTGCTGTCAGGCGGGACAGTGTTTGCTGACGATGAGGTACCAGGGTTGCCAGTGGAGGAGGGGACCTCATTGGTGGCCAGGTGGCTGGGACCTTCACCCGGACTAGGGGTCCTTCTGCTCCTCTTGTTGGGTCCTTCTGTCTCCTCAGACTTCCTCTTCCTCACTTCCGCTTCACCGCTGACGTCGATGGGTGTGGTTGTCAGGGCATCCTCAGTGAGGGAAGAGCTGCTGACGGTCTGAGTGTGGTCCTCAGCAGAACTGGAGCTCCCGCTGCTTCTCTTCCTTGGACGTTGCTCGCTCTCATTGGCGGTTGACATCCTCTCGCTGCTGGTCTTTTTCTCCGAAGTACCCGCTGCAGCCGCATTGCAAGGTCCGGAGAGACTCTGGGTTTCTCTACAATCTACAAAAATAGAAAAAAGCCAAGAAAAACTAGCATGTTTGCTTTACTGGATTCAGAGTTGAGATACGAGGAGTTAATACCGAACTGTGCACAGTGGTATTCAGACCAATCAGACACATAAATATATGGACCACTTAGACCTCAGCCTTTGGTTAGTGGGCTCAGCTTAACAAAATGCACTCATACGGAGGTTTGACTGAATGTCTCCTTTTAGTTTAGCATTTATTTGACAGAAAACAGACATAATATATATATATATAAATATTTCTATGATTTCTATCTCATCTAACCTTTACTTGATGTAAGTCCACTGACTGCGTGGCTGTGTCTGCTCCTCTTGTTTTCTCTTTCAAGTCTTTCTTCTGAGTTTCTCTTGAAGCTTGCCTTCCTTCCATCTGATTTGCAGTCTTCCACTGCAGAGATAACAGGTTCAGTGTGGCGTCCTGCAAGAACAGAAAAAGATCATTTGGTTTGCTGTATGTGTTGAACATAATCTGATACATTATCTACTGTCTGAGTGATTCAAGCAAGAACCAGCATTAATAAGCATTGGCCTACCAGCTAAATCATATGGATTAAGAAAAGTAAGAGAGACTGTGGTCTTTGCTAGGATTTGGCCCTCACTACTCACCCAGGTGTCTGCTGGAGGCACAACACTGAACAACGCTTTTTGTAGGCCATGATTTGGAAGCCATGACTCTTGAACAGTAATGGTTCACCGTTGAAATGCCAAATAACTTGGTTTTCTCCTGTCTTTGTCCTGTAAGTGTCTTCTCACAATGTTTCCAGAGTGTTGCAACCTCACATGTGCTTTAATACCTCACAAAATTCTAATTCTAAATTCTGTCAATCTGTTCCCATTAAAATGCAAAATCATATCAAAATAATTAAATACATTTAAATCATAATAAAGACTTTATAATAAAGAAATTATGTTTTTTTTTTATTCATATCAAAACACAATTGGAGGGCTGGCAACTCTCATGATATGTCTACAAACAATATAGTAGCCAATAAACCAGTTCAATGGTGTGTCATAGTCCATTATTATTTCCATTCTTTACATCAGTGCTTCACAATCTTTTTACACTACGTACCAAATATTAGGCAACCTTAGAAAATAACATGAAAACCAAGATTTTTATCATAAAAAATGTGTCCTCTGCTCTGTGTATTTTGATAGAAACACTGATATATGCTGTTGTATAATCCCCATTTTTAGTGAAATGGATTACAGTTAGCTTTTTTGTATCCTGATTACGCAACTCACTTACATGTAATCCTATCCAAGCCTGCGTTGGAGGAAGATTTATTCCTAATAAGATTATTTATCTTCGACTGTTTTCAGCCACAGACATGTATGCTACATGTATGTGTGCGCTACATGCATGAACGTGACCACGTAACTGGTTAAAAAACAACAACAAAACATTACAGGATTTGAAATTACATATTATAGTTAAAACGTCCAGTATGTACCATTTAGGAGGCACTATTGTCAGAAATGTAATATAATATTCATAGTATGTATTTATTGTCATGAGTGTATAATCACCTGATTATAGGTATTGTAGTGTTTTCGTTACTTTAGAATTAGCTGTTTTTATCTACAGAGGGAGCGGGTCCTCTTCTGGCAGAGTCCTCCATGTTGAACTGCCATGTTTGTACAGTACCCAGAACGGACAAACCAAACACTGGCTCTAGATTGGGCCTTTCGCCTTTTTCCCTAGTTTCTCAGCCACTAGTTTCTTCTACACACTTGGAACAGGAGGGTGAGGCGAGAGGATTGTAATCTACTAGATGCCACAAAATCTTACACACTGGTCCTTTAAGTATTTTCATTCTAAATTTTGTATTTTGACAGTGTTGTTTTTAAATAGATGTATTTCATTAAGATATATATTTTGGAGATTCCTACACGTAACTCTAGGGGGAGCTTGTGTACCAGCAGTAGTATGTGTACCGTAGTTTGAGAACCAGACATTTACATGATTTCTTGTCTGGTAACAGATATTGGCCCTTTAAATGGAAGAAGCTTTAGTTCCACTGTGAACAAGTAGTGCTGCTTGACTTTGCTGGATGGCCCCTGTAGGAGGTCCTCTCTAACAAGAAGGTAACTTAAAATGTTTTTGGTGCTACAGCCGCCAAACGGTAGGTTTATTTTGCCTGATTGTAGTCTTGCAGGAAAATCAGTATTTATTTGATAAGATGTCACAGATTCTGCAAGCCTTAGACCCTCTTCGCATTCAGCACATCTTAACTTCTTTGCATTTGAACTTAATTTTGCCACGACTTTTCACATTTTGAGAAGTCCTTCTAGCAGTAGGTTGAAAAATGTACTACTAGCTTTTTTCAACCGTATCTTCCTCATCTGGATTTTTCTTTTTCTTTTATATCTTTTTATGTTATATCTTTATAAATAAACAAATCAGCGTTGCCAACAGTCTTTTCTTTGCCTTCCTGTGTAGATTCTGATAGGAGAGGCCATTCTGTACTGCTATCTGTCCAGGAGGTCATCAGCCACGCAGACTGAGGCCAACATCAACGCTGCAGGGTGTAATTTCAACTCCTACATTCGCAGGGCTGTGCGCTTCATAGGTGGGAGGACACATGCATCATACCCACAAGTGATTACTGTAAAACCTTAATTAAAAGCAGGGTGCCAAATGGACACAGGTCTCTCTTACTAGCCTGGTGTGGCTACACATTTGGATAAACACAGGTCTCAATTAGACGCCTAGTGTAGATTTTTAGAGATGCTTTGGATGTATTAATAAAGGTTGAATGTTGTTTGCTTAGATCGCCTACACAAATACAAACTGCTATAGACTGCTCAACATCATTAGATCAGTTAAATTCTCCACAATTCAATTGTCCAGGTCATTTTACAGAAACCATGAGCAGCAAATGAAGGATTGGCAATTGATATGTTATTCGATAGCCTCATTTTTATACATGTATTATTCATACTGGTTTTAATAAACAATTTGATCGTATTTGCCATATTTGTTGAGCAAGAGTTTTGTGCAAAAGGAATTAAAGGTCTGTTCCAAATGGCAGGTTGAGTTCAGTGATCAAAGCAAATAAAAGCCTGGACTATTGGAATTTTACGGTACATGCATGTTTTCAGTGACTGAAACACGCAAATGACAACAAGTGTAATAGTAACATAACTGTAAAAAATGTGCTGTCAAAATATTGGTGGGTACAGAATAAAAACAAAAGCATGTGACAAGAAGGTGACATGTTCTACTAATCCATTGTCTGCTGTTGTAAAACGTGTTGTTTTTCACAGGTGTCCATATCTTTGGCCTGTGTGTGACTGCTCTGATAACGGATATTCTCCAGCTGTCCACCGGTCAACACACCCCCTACTGGTTGGACGTGTGCAAACCCAACTTGACCCACATTAACATGTCCACCTGTGATGAGGCTTTTATTCTGGAGGATATCTGCTCTGGACAAGACATGGGGCTCATCAACGCTGGGAGGTACAAGGCTTTGTTCTACCGAGCGAGTCAGTGTGGGAGTGAACTAGTGAGTGTGCCAGAGGATGTGTGTGGGTGTTTGTGAGTGTGTCTTTATGGAGTCATTTTTAATGTTTAGTTTTAGCACACACACTCACACACGCACAGGCTATAATCTTGTAGCTTGCGGTCCTAGACTAGTTCTCTGCTGTTGTTATGGTGACAAAGCTGCTCTTGGGACAAATACTGAAACATAGAAAATAGGAGCTTGATAGTAGGACACTGCACATCACGCATTTGCCAAGGTCATGTGCTACAACATGGCTGCTCTACCATGACCAAATTCCAAAGGAAATATTCTTCCTCATAGCATCATCCCTTGGATATAAAGTGACCGAGCTGCTTTCAGGGAAGATGCATTTGCGGGATTTTGAAGGCTTTAGCTAGTTAGCAAAGGCTGTGGCTAGTAACAAAACTGAAGAAACAGTTGAAAATGAGAAGAACCACCAATGCTAAAGCACAGCCTGTTTATATACCGTTACAGCGTTAGGGGAGTGGTTATACTCTGTATGACTCCAGTGCGTCATCGAACCATAGTTTTAGCCCCATACAAATCATCCTGAACCCAAAACAGGTGAAAACGACTTTAACGGTCTAACAATTCAGTACTACATCGTAACAGTCTTTTGTAATGCTTTCAGCAATTATTTTATGAAATGTATAATGTTTAGAGAGAAATCTCAGAATTTCCTTTACACAGACTTTAATGTTACATGTAGGACATGTAGTAACTAGCTTACTTAATGCACCATGAATATATATTTAGAAGTAATAAAATGGAGCCTATTCAATCAAATGAGAAAAAGAAAAGCTAGAAAAGAAGCTAGAAGTAGTTTTCTAGTTTTGGGGTTTACTTCCTGGTTATGCGGTCCATTGGATATGTACAGTAGTGCTTCTCCCACTGGCCCCACTCGCTAATAAATGATGGAATTTTAGAATTTTATTATTAATCTAATATTGAATTATTTTGTTGGAAGCTAAACTCATAGATGTACTGTATGCATAAGGAGTAGAGTAGGAAACAACTGAATGTAGAAAATGAAGCGGATCAGACCAGACAATATCCAGGACAAACTTCTGGTATTATCCGATATAATCTATGGATACAGGTTACAATACAGTTTTTATCCCCCTAGGGTGGTGATATCATGACATACCCTGGTCTGGCTCTGATTGGTTACTACTATCTGTTGTCTTTAATGGTTTGGTTGGTAAGGTTTAGGCATGCGGAGTGAGACTGGTTAGGGTAACAATGTCAGGGTAAGCCAATCAGAGGCAGAGTAGGGCGGCTCATGATTTTGCCAATCTGGGGAAAAAAATATTGCTTTCCTCACTTCCTGCACTACTTCCTGTAGGTATACTATACGCTCGTCTAACGTTGAAAAGACCGACGTTTTCAAGTTGATTAAAAGATAAAAGCGACATATAAAGCCACATCTTAAACTAGCTAATCTTAGCAAACCTTTTGCTAACTAGCTAGCTAATCTACATTGGTTGATAGCTAGTTAATTTACATCAGTCATTAGTGGGCTAATTAGCTAAATGTTAGCAATAAAAATAAGAGATGTTCAAGAATTCAAGGTTATTTAATTGTCATTTACAGCGCAAGGTTGTATAATAATACACAGATAGTTCCCATTATGCATCTCGTAAAAAAAAAAACTTGTATGGGTGACAATATTATAAGGGTTCATTTGCAAAAAAATACAATTATAAAATGAGGTATTGTATCACCAATACTAAGCTGCATTTAAGTTCACTAAAACAATTGAGTTATTACTTCAGTTCATTTTTGAGTTAATGCATTCTTGCATTTGAAGTCTCTTTTTCCTTTTTGCTCTGTGCTCCAATCACAGTTGCCTTGGTCACCTTTCTCTTTTCCTGTACGCCAGTTTATTTTTCCCCAAGCTGGCATAATCATGACATGCTTTACTCTGGCTCTGATTGGTTACTTGTTGCCTTCATTGGTTTGGTTGTTAAGGGTTAGGCATGAGGAGTGAGATTAGTTACGTTTAGGGTATCAATCAGATGCAGAGTAGGGCGCTCGATTGGCTGCAATAAAATACTGATACCATTCACTCTAATGGAGAATGAGCCGACTTCTGGCTTGATTTATGAACTTCTAATGAGTTTATGGTCTCAATTTTCTCTCGTTTTTTGTCTTCTTCCATACAGCATGATGTTCATTTAGTAAATTATAGGTAAAATAGACCCTAAAGCAGGGTATGCTGTAGGGCATGGCTACCTTGTGATTGACAGGTCACTCTCAGTGACTCTGTCCAGCTCAGTGCACAAAACTCAGATCAAACTGTCAAACAGTGCTGATCAAATACGAAGCTAGATTCTGTTACTGCGTTGCCTTTTTCTCGCTTAAAATCATTTCAGAAACATATTTTAGTGTACTGTTTAGCTGTAATACAAGCTTTTGTGTGACCAGGCGAGCTGCCGTTGTTTCCCGCAACGGATGAGTCAAAATGGCACAGCCAATGAGTGCTCCACAAACACTCCACCAACTAATGGGTGACGTCACGATAGGTTCACACTTGTTTACAACGCAGGGTTGTAGATGACATTCAGGTAGTTTCCTTTATGCTACTCATAATATATAAACACCGATCAGCCATAACATTCCGACCCACTGGGCACCCTGGTGGTCATAATGTTCTGCAGTCCCATACCAACAGACTGTGTTGCACTGTGTGTTCTGACCCCTTTCTATCAGAACCAGCATTAACTGTTTCAGCAGTTTGAGCTACAGTAGCTGGTCTGTTGGATCGGACCACACGGGCCAGCCTTTACTCCCCACGTGCATCAATGAGCCTTGGCCCCCCATGACCCTGTCTTCCTTGGAGCACTTTTGATAGGCACTGACCTCTACAGACCGGGAACACCCCACAAGAGCTGCAGGTTTGGAGATGCTCTGACCCAGTCGTCTAGCCATCACAATGTGGCCCTTGTCAAAGTCGCTCAAATCCCGCTTTTTTCCAGTTTCTAACATCAACATTGAGGACAAAATGTTCACTTGCTGCCTAATATACCCCACCCACTGACAGGTGGTATGATAAACAGTGTTATTCACTTCACCAGTAAGTGCTCCCAATGTTATGGCTGATTGGTGTTTATATATTTATATATATGTATATATGAATTCACAGTAAAATTGATTAATTAATAAATTAATAACTCATTAAAAAAATACTATTTTGAGTGATGAAGAGCTGAGGATGAGACCATGCTGTTGCTTTTATCTTTTAACTATCTTCAAAATGTGGTTGTCTTTTCAACATAGACAAGTCTAGAACATGTGGATGTGGGCTAATTTTGTGCCATCAGATGACCTACTTGCACTAAGGTGGATTGAGTGCTACAGCTGCATATAGAGATCAAGAAGCACAGTGCAATTTTGTCATCCATTGCTGCTTGTGTTACCGCCTACTAAATGACCTCTTATCGTAAAGTGAACGGAGCAGTTTCATAGCATTAGATGGCAGAGGCACAAGCACACTTTACTGAAACACTGCACAATTGTGCACAACCTAAACAGTGTGAATGCTTCAATTAAACCTTCTGACAGCAGGCTTTAGCCAAATGGCACAGAATGTTCTGTGCTTCTCTCCACGCCAGACTGGTGAGCTGTTCCACACTGATTCTTAGTTTGTAGTGTAGCAGGCGTCCTCAGGATACATTCTGAGCTCTTCAAAAATCTCAGGATATTTTTTTATTAAATCTCAAAACTCCATGTCCTCTGCATAATTAAATTAGATTTCTTCCTGTCATGTAACAGTATTTTTAAAGGGAGCTTTCTTTATGCAAATGTGTAAATAGATTAGACAGTTGTTGCTTTTCTTCATGCTGTTGTGACATTATTGTGCATATGTAATTAGATATGGCTTGCCGAATGTAACCTGTTTAATCATTATAGTAAACAAAATAATGGGAGTCAAAGATGTTGAAAGACATTTTATTGTAGTACAGGTTAGTGTAGGTGTAGTTGTAGCCTAACTGAACATATATCCTTATCTTCCAGAGTAACATGTCAGTGTCTCCTGCAACATGAATACAACTTGAAGGTCCAGCATGTAGGATTAAGTGGCATCTAGCGGTGAGGTTGCAGACTGCAACTAACTGAATACCGCTGGTGTCTGTATTTGACGATTTGGGAATGAGAAAGGGCTGTGAAGTGTGTAAGAGAAACTACAGTAGACGTGAAAACTCACCAAAAAAATATTATTAAATATTACTGTTTGTAAGTAGTAGTTCATTCAATAATGTGTAATTAATTATTAATTAATGCTTCATTATAATTAATAATCAAAAACAATGATAATTGTGCATCATACACTGCAGCATCAGCATAATATAAAAAACCTTAGTTTATTACCAGGATATACTTTTGTAATACTTGAGCTATGAAGTAGCACAGCATACGTCAGATGCCTGGAGGTGTTGGCCTACCTGTGTCAGTCATACACTGCATTTATTAAACACCTGCTAGGGCAGAGTTACCACCAGATACACACACACACACACACACACACACGTCCAAGTTTCTTTGAAAGTCACTTCTCTGTTGCAGATGAATATTCAGCATTGTCCTTATCTGTCTGAACATGATAATTAGCAGAAAGAACACTCTGTCTTTCTTTCTTTATAGGAAGTCTTTTCCCTCCCAGCATGCAACTCTGGCTGCCTTTGCTGCTGTCTACATCTCAGTAAGTGGTTAATATACTCTATCATGTAGAAAGAGACTTGTAGCTGCCACCTAAAATTTTGCCACGGAAGCTAAAGTTGTTGTCAGTTTCAGTTCTAAATCATTTAGAATGGTTAATCTAATAATCTGAGTTGACCCTCACAGGATTGACAGATAATGACTAGCTCATGTGAAATTGTGTGTGTTTCAGATGTACTTCAACACAGTGCTGACAGACTCGGCCAAGCTGCTGAAGCCTCTCCTAGTGTTCTCCTTCGTCATGCTGGCCATCCTGGCCGGGCTGACCAGGATCATCCAGTTCAGAAACCACCCTGTCGACGTCTATTGCGGATGGTTACTGGGAGCTGCCATCGCTGTTTACCTGGTAACACAGTTACAAGCATTTTGATACTTTTGAAGGTTTCTTGTCTAGTTTAAACTGTGAGAAGACATATTGTAGTAACTCTTAGAAATAATCTTTTCCATTGTGTTGAAATGCCAATAATAGAAGCATAACATCAGCAAAACCGAGCAAAAAATGTACCTTATGCATTAACTTTATTCTGCAACCAGTGAGTAGCGTTAAAGGACCAGTAAGTAGGTTTTAGTGGGCTCTGCCATGTAGGAGAAATCTATTCTCAAAGACAGTATCTCAGTTTTTGTATTTAAGCCACCAACTGCTAGATAGCAGTGTTGTAAACTGTGGGCTATGGTGTTGGATGTTACAGGGACTGTGATAAATACAGATCCGATTGTTTTGGTTGCAACCTTTTTTTACTCAGATTTTATGCTTCTTTTTTATCGTAATGTATCGCCTTGCTTACAGCGTTGCAGTATATCGCAATATATTGCTCATCTTGTGCTAGGTTGCCCTTGAAAGAGATAACAGGTTCTTATGGAAGGCATGTTAGGCAGATGATTGCAGTACACATGGTTCAGTGTATTATTCAATACAGTTTTATGGGCTGAAAGGAGATGAGGATGTTCAGCTCTTGTGTAGAAACTGGTGGATATTCACACAGTATATTTGATACCTCCCACACACTATCACCCTCAAGCCCACACACACTCAGATAGACAAGTCCGGCATGCACACAAACGGACATGAGCAGTTACACTATTGAGTAGACACACACCAACAGAGCCCTCTTCAGCTGCCTACACTTTTGTTGTTCTGCCTTCTCCTGCAGGGAGAAACGTTGGCTACAGATATGTGAGGTAGTGCTCCGATACATCAACCCTCCATCAGATGATGCAGAATCACCAGTTACTTAACGCAGTTTAAAGAAGTCACATTTCACCAGTAGTCCCTTATTTTTATGTAAATAGAGAATTATTTACCTGAGTGAAAGGATCTCTGTGATTAACTTAAGATGATGTGATTTTTGTTGAGATGATGATTATTCACATTTGTTCTCCAGGCAATAATTTTGCACAGTACAGGACTTATTGGGCTATTTTTAGGTTCTTTGTTTGGCGTATCATCTATCATCAAAGGAGAAATGAAATGTAAAGTAGATAAATTGAGGCTGATTGGCAGGCTCCACTTGTTTCTGTGCTGCAGTGCATCAGTACTGTACTGGGTCAGGTTTGGCAGGAAAGCTGCTGATTGCAAATATTTTCTTATTCTGTCAGTGAACACTTTTTATTTTAGTAAGACAGTTCTAACAGTATGTCAACTACATATAATTCTTGGGGGAGATTTTTTTAATTTAAAATTCTCTATTACTAAATTTTATTCAAAAAGTAGTCATCATGCTACTTGAATTAACCCTTTCACTTGTATTGTTACATTAAAGGACCAGTGTGTAGGATTTAATGGCATCTAGCGGTTAAATTACAGATTGCAACCAACTGAATACCAATAGCCTCCCAAGCATGTAGAGGATACTACAGTTGCCATGAAAAATGCTTAAGTCCCTATTTAGAGCCAGTGTGGTGGTTCAGTATGGCGGCCTTTGTGGAAGAGGACCTGCCCCGTCTGTGGAGCGGAACTATGATTTGCACTGCTTTTCTAGCCAAGACACGCCCTGCGGAGCATTCAAGCGCTAGGGTTGGCCAGGTGCGCATGCTTGTCATGTGACATACAAAAAACGGATTAAAAAAGCTTTAAACGTAGCATAAATAGCACCAAAGTCTAAGGAAAGGAAGAAAGTAGTGGTGGTTAAATGGATTAAGTAAGAGACCCTGAGGTTTGAATCCCCTGTGAGAAGTTTTTTAAACTTACTTGACTAATTTTAAAAGCACTTGGTTAGGTTAAAACCTAACCAAGTGGCACTTGGTTAGGTTTACACAACAATCCTTATATTCAGGTGATTATACACTAATGAAAACATACCTCTAAATATTATATTGCATTTCTGCCAAAAGATCCTCCTAAATGTTACACACTGCATCTTTAAAACGTAGTATAACAGTAGCTTGTAAAACAAAAACGACATCTTCAACACTTCACTGGAGACATGTCATGTGCCAGCCTGCTTCAAAGCATCCACCATCATCCCTGTCCCCACAAAACCAAGGTCCACAGGACTCAATGACTACAGACCTGTTGCCCTCACCTCTGTGGTCATGAAGTCCTTTAAGTGCCTTGTGCTCTCCCACCTCAACGCCATTACGGACCCACTCCTGGACCCCCTGCAGTTCGCCTACAGAGCCAACAGGTCTGTAGACGATGCAGTAAACATGGCCCTGCACTTCACCCTCCAGCATCTGGATTTCCCAGGAACCTATGCCAGGATCCTGTTTGTGGACGACCATCAGACCATCAGCATCGGATCTCCCCAGGGCTGCGTTCTTTCTTCTCTGCTCTTCTCCCTGTACACAAACAGCTGCACCTCCAGTCACCAGTCCTTCAGGCTCCTGAAGTTCACGGATGACACCTCCCTCATTGGGCTCATCTCTGTTGGAGATGAGTCCTCCTACAGATGGGAGATTGACCATCTGGTGACCTGGTTCAGCCAGAACAACCTGGCTCTGAAAACAGTAAAGATGGTTGTGGACTTCAGAAAGAACCCAGACCCACCCGCCCCCATCATCCTGTGTGTCTCCCCAGTTGACTCTGTGGAGTCCTTCCGCTTCCTGGGTACCATCATTACCCAGGACCTCAAGTGGGAGCTAAACATCAGCTCCCTCACCAAGAAAGCCCAGCAGAGGATGTACTTCCTGCGGCAGCTGAGGAATTTCAACCGGCCAAAGATGATGGTGCACTTCTACACCGCCATCATCGACTCCATCCTCACCTCTTCTATCACCATCTGGTAAGCTGCTGCCACAGCCAAGGACAGCAGACTGCAGCGTATCATTCGATCTGCTGAGAAGGTGATTGGCTGCCATCTGCCATCCCTCCAGGACTTGAATGCCTCCAGGACCCTGAGGCGTGCAGGCAAGATTGTGACTGACCCCTCCCACCCTGGACACAAACTCTTTGAAACACTTCCCTCTGGTAGGAGGCTGCGGTCCATCAGGAGAAAGAACAGTTTCTTCCAGTCTGCAGCTGGCCTCATTAACAAGGCCCGGAACCCCCACTGACTCTTAAACCCACCCTGTATATATGTGTTACATTAATGCACTCCCATCTTCTGTACAGTTTTCTTATCTTTCTTATCTTTATTTATTTATATTTAAAAAGTACTTTAATCTTGTGTGATTTTTGTGTGATTTGTATATGTTATGCACCAATGCACCAAGACAAATTACTCGTATGTGTAAAAACCTACCTGGCAATAAACCTAATTCCGACTGATTCTGAAAACAGAGGATGTGGTTTAGGTATTATTTTTTAATTTAACCCATACCCCCTTCTCTTGGACTACCAAGGCAGCTGTGGAAGGTGTGTAAGGAGGCCAACAGTCTTCTGCAGCTCACTATCTCCATATCTCTCTCATGGATGTGTATGACTTCAGCTCTATATCTCATTGACGTATTTGCTTATCCACGCCCGCTTTGAAAATATCCTTTCAGTAACTCCACTCACTTATTCAATTTCACATCCAGATACATCACTTGACTGAAGACAAAGAGGTTCTAACTGTCAATTCACTGTGAAAAGGCTGTGGTGTAGGACTGAGGAGCTGACATGGCAGCCACCTGAAACAGGATTTGTCAAACTCTTTTGTATGCTTATGACTTTGCTGCATGCTCCTCTGACTTCACTGTGTGTGTGTGTGTGTGTGGTGGTATGCAGGGTGTGTATGCAGTGGGGAATTTCCAGCCCAGTGAAGATCGGTCCAGAAGTCGACCACCTGCCCCTACCCTGAGGGAGCCCCCCCTCTCCTCCCTGCCCAATGTCAGCCAATCAGCAATTAGCAACAGCCACCAAGGTAAAACCATGCCTGCCAGATGTCTCTTAGAATTACACATTACATCACCCTGATATGTCAACTACTGCAATACATTTCCAGAAAAAAAATGCTACTCATAACCCATATTATGATATGAACGGAGAATCTTGTGGTTCAGCTTTGTTCAGTCCCAGATGTCTGAGTTTGGGCATGCTAATGAGCATAGTCACACTGTGTACCAACAATGCACTGACTTTGAACAAGGTGAAATGCCATGAACAACAACTCCAAGGAGAAAATAAATGTTTGCCTTGCAATTAATCTGGACAAAGCTAAGCACAGAGAACAAGACATCAAATTGTAGGTCATTGAGGACTAAAATAAATGTGCTAACAAGAGTGCATTTACTTTTCTTTTATATATATTCCTATGCTAAAACATTTTTATCATTCATTCTGACTAATCCCCAGGATACATCATTGATGTGTTCCAGTGCATCTGAAGATCTATGTTTTGAACAAGCTAATTACTAACCATTAACAAAGAAATATTTGGCCCATCCATCTATTTAATGTTTATAGATGTTTTACAAGCAGTTTCTTAAAGGTTGACAAATCATTTGGTATTTATATACTTTATATACTTTATATACTATGTAAAATTTTATAATGTGTGCAACTGTCAATACATTTTCTACTAATGTAATTATCATCTCTTATCAGCAATAATAAAATATATAAATCCTGAACTAATTGTTTTATATTAAACATACTAATGATAAAATAGCATCAATTATAGCATTACTAATAGTTAGTAAACATTATTCATTATCAATTTAATTGTTTGTTAACAGTAAAAAGGACTTTTTTTTCCCTTTCCTTGCCGCTGTCACCAAGTAATGGTAAATGGTAAATGGACCTGTACTTGTATAGCGCCTTTCTAGTCTTCCGACCACTTAAAGCGCTTTTACACTACGTGCCACATTCACCCTTTCACACACATTCACTCAGTGATGGCAAAGTCCATCGAAACTAATGCATTCATACACATTCACACACCGATGCACAGAATCGGGAGCAATTTGGGGTTCAGTATCTTGCTCAAGGATACTTCGACATGCGTGCAGGAGCCGGGGATCCAACAACCTTCCGATTAGGGGACAACCCGCTCTGCCTCTGCACCACAGCCAAGTGCTTGCTCATGATGGGAATTGTTGGGACTCTAGACCTACTCTATTTAAAAAGTGTCCTAAGATCATGAAATGGCACTAAAAATAAAATTTTATTGAACTGAATAATAAAACTATTAACTAGTTTATTTAACTATTAACTAGTGCAGTGACCGTAGGAAGTATGTATTGCTATAGAAAAGTGGGAGGTTAAGTAGCTTTTTCATGGATGGCCAAATGAGGTTGTGTTTGAAGGTGTAGCAGCTAGCTACAGACGAACATCCACAGATTCCGATTCCAGTTTGTTGTCCTCGCGTATCCGGATCTCCTCAGACCGGAAAAGACTCGGTCCGGACTCGTTCAGTCTCGTTCAGTGTCAGTAATCCACAACAGTCAGTTTAGATGCACAGAACGGGACCAAACAGGCAGCAAAATCCGCTGTAGACCAGCGTGTTTCTTAAGGTGTGTCTTGGGGGTGGGCTCTGCAGTGATTGGCTCTGGTGCGCACGTGGCTATGGTGGCTATGGTTGACAATGTTAGTGGAATTCGTAAATCATTTATGAAATCATTTTTTAATGGTATCTTTGTAGTCCAAACAAACCAGACGCTGCACACCCTTAAACCACACAGCAGCCATGTTGAAACTCTCAGGTCAGTCTGATCCTGATCTGCAGAGATACTTGAGGCACACACACACACACAGACAGAGATTTCTTGCTTTTATAGAGAGATATACCATTTATTAATGAAGCTTACTATAAAGTCTTACTTTGGGATCCTGGTGTGGCATCAGCATTAACACAGGCGTTGAACCAGACCATAGCCGGAAACCAAAGCTTTCAGTTAACCAGTGGCTCTATGTTCTAACCCTCGTCTGTGGTCATGAGCTTTGGGTAATGAATGAAGAAGATTGCGGATACTTATCTTACTGCCTGTGCGACACGGTCTCTGATAATGGGAAGAAAATGGATGGATGAATGGATTAGCAGTTTATACCCTCCCCTGTTATCCAATTATAGGTCACCACACCCTTGCTCCAAGCCAACCAGAGCCCATCATCACGAGGACCTCTTCCCACACTTTGTCCCCCCACCGGCCAGAACCCATCCTGACACGAAGCTCCTCCTACCGAGAGCCCTCTATGTCCAATCTGAAGAGAGCAAGTGCTGAGGTGGAGGTGATAACTCCGTCTAGTCCCATGGGCAACCATGACAACATGATGACCTTCAGCAGCAGCACATTACCAAGGTAAATATTTTTAGCGAATTCTTTATCCATCAAGGTTTTGGTTGGGGGTGAGAAAACAAGGTGCTAGAACTTTGCTTACACATAATACAAAATGTTTAACTGTAACATATTGCTCCACCTGTTAAATCTTGCAATAGACTTTACTGCTCTATGTTAGGGATAGAAGACTGCATTTCGCATACCTTTTTAGCATCAACAGCAATTGGAAGAGACCACTGCAGGTAATAAGTTGATCCAGTTTACTGCAGTAATGGCAGTTTAAAGGACCACTGTGTACGTCTAAGTGGCATCCAGTCGTAAAGTTGCAGATTGCAATAAATAAAATAGTACTCACCTTCCTAGCATGTAACTATGGTGGCTGTGAGACTGCTGAAAAATGGTCCTATCTAGAGCCAGTGTTTTGTTTGAAACATGGCGGACTCTGTAGAAGAGGATCCACTCCCTCTGTAGATAAAAACAACTCATTCTAAGGTTAAAAAAAACACAACAATTCTTATTTTCAGGTGATTATACACTGATGAAAACATACCTGTGAATATTATATTCTCTAAATGTTACACACTGGACCTTTAAGATCAGACCATATATATATGACAGTTGTGTTGAATGTCATTAATGAGGTTTGGAGAAATTATCCATATTTCAATACATATGGTGTACATACTTTAAAAGTCCTGGGATCCTGTAGGTGTCTCCCAGCACGGATTTGGTAATATAACAGGATACAATACATTCAGAGGTGTGTTCAAGTAGATTGTGGGGTTTGTAGGGGTCTACAGCCAGGATAATCCAAGGATTTATCAGGTGGTTCATTTGGGGAGCATACACCACAGCCAGACTTTTGGCAAGTGAAAGAGCTGGAGGCCTGAGAGGATTTTACAGAAGTGTTTCAATTAGAAATAGTGGAGTAAAAGTATGTATGTGTTTTGGATTTACTGGGCATATGAGCAGATAGCGGTTAATTAGATTATACTGCAGGGCTGCAGAACAACTTCTCTTCAGTTTTGTGACTTTTAATGATGTGAATTGGAGACTGACTTTAAGGCCCTGACTTCCTGATGGAATGGGAGAACCAGCCTTGTACCTTAGCATATGGGCGGGTGAAAAGCTAACTCATGATGATGAGTCCTTTCAGCTAACCTGTTCATTTATTAGCAATATCCCACACAGTGGCTAAGTCAACTAGTATTGGCACTGTCTCCATAGAAATTACATTTATATACAACTGATTTGCAATCAGCAAATATATTTTGAGGGAAAAAAAAAAACAAAAAAAATAAAAATTTTTTAAAAAAAAAAAAAAAAATTTTTTAAAAAATTTTAAAAAAAAAAAAAAAAAAAAAAAAAAAAAAAAAAAAAAAAAAAGTATACTTACAAAGTATTTCATTTGTTTTCCACCGAAATAGGCAATCTTGCAATTCTATCCATTCGTAGTAGCAGCATTATTAAAAAGTCAGCAGTGACTTGAGACATAAGATCTTTCATTAACATTTAACCAAAATAACAGTCTTTCCTAGACCTTAACCAAAGTGCTTTTGTTGCAGGAGTCTAAATTGGAATGTGGTTTGTGCTCCTGGTATCGTCCCAACCACCTCCTTGCAACTCTAAACGTTGTCTCTGAACATAATCCAGGCAGGTATTATTTCTAGGAGACAGGGTTGGTATTAGAAATCAAGTTTAGTTGACAGAGCCTACCAATAGATCTTCTTTCCTTAATGTTACACACTGAACATGCATCATATTTTCACAGCTTTTTTCAGCTCTTCTATTACCACGAGCAATCTGTCTGTTCACCCATCATCTTTGTCTGTGGTAGGAACCGGTAGGAAAAGAGATTTGAGATGTGATAGAATTGCCTGTTCAACTGAGGAAGGAAAATAAAGTATCTGTGTGGGTGTAACTGAGAAGACAACTAATTTGAAATACTTGGAAAGCACCACACTAGAGCTGCACTGATAGAAACTTGAAGAGCTCTATGGAGGGTGGTAGGGTTTCTGGCATTCTCCTGGAGCACACAAAGAGAGAAAAAGAGAGGTACAAAGTGGTGAAGACTGGAGAGTTGTTGCAGTGGCTTCATCCTCAACACTTGCCGGACATTGTCAGTAGTGATAGGCGGGAGGATATCATGCCTCTGGTGTCCCTGTGGTCCTGTTTGGCTCCATCATCAAATTACTTTTTTAATAAATAGATGTAAAATCTCTATACTAGCACATAGTCTGGAATCAGAGGAAATGGCTTTAATGCTGGGTAATTTTCTCAAATTTTGAAGTGCTCTGGTACATTGTGCACTGATTTTGAAAGAGAGGGTAAGAGCGGATTTGATTTGTCATGACTGGCCTTCTACCACACTCCATACCCTGCTCTGTTTCTAACTGTGTTGTAGTTGCCACTGGCCTCAAAATTGCCAAAAGCCTGTAAAAAATTCAGCAACTCACAGCATGAGCGCATTGAGCGGCACTGATCTACTACTAGAGCTAATACTAAGTGTTGGGTACTAGCTCTTCACAGACACTAACAGACTACAACAGATGTGGATAAGAAACTGGACTTGACTACAGTGTGTTTGTTTCTTTTCACACATGGAAAACAAAAAAATCTTAATTTAATTAGAATTAGGAATTACCATAACATAACTTTAAACAATATTATTAACCTTTTATCATATGTTTAAGGAATGAAAGGCTACAGAATGTTGATTTATTTGAGATCAAAAATTCATTTCAGTCAGTTTCTGTCAGTTGTAAGTTTATTAAGTCGAGAGAACATTTATTAATGTCAGAGCATGAATTAGTCATTTATGTGCACAGATGATTTATTTTATTTTCGCCACAACAACCACCAGGTTCTGTACTAATCTTCTATTGTGGTTGTTGCTAGGGCGGCTGTGGCTTAGAGGCAGAGAGGGTCGTTCCTTAATTGGAAGGTTGTGGGTTCAATCCTTGGCTCCTGGTGCCACATGTCAAAGTATCCTTGAGCAAGATACTGAACCCTGAAGAGCTCCCTATGCTGTGCATCGGTGTGTGAATGTGTATGAGTGTTAGTTTCTGTTCGATGGGCTTTGCCATCACTGAGTGAATGTGTGTGAAAGGGCGAATGTCTCATATAGTGTAAAGACTAGAAAGGCGCTATACAAGTACAGGTCCATTTACCATTTAAAGGTTCCATATGAGTGAATGTAACTCAGAACATAAGACCGAACCTTCCTGGTTGCCTGTGGATTGATTTGTGTTTCTATGTAAGGATGTGGGGTGGATTTTACATGAAAATCCAAAGGATGCTACAATTATGCGGGTTCCACAGTGTTCTCTCTCCACTTCCCTACAATGTCAACAGTGTGCAATACTAGCTGATGTTAGCTTACAAAAGAAGTCAGCTAACGTACACATACGGCAAACATCCACCACAAAACAACGTCCACAGTCTGAGCTCACATTATTGCATTGCTTGTGAAATATAATGGGATATTATGGTTTTAGCTGGATTGCGGCTGACTGGCTAACCTTTCCTTGCTTGCTCGCTAGTAAAATACAATCTGAGTGGATAGGCTAACGTTAGCTTGCAAAATTACTTGACCAGCTAATGTCCATGATGACTTATGTATTATGACAAACAGTGTTGATTTTAGCCAAAAGGTGATGTAATGGTACAAAGCTAACAATTTACTAGCCAAGAGCGATGCAAGGTCTCCAGCTATGTAGCCTAAGCTGAACTGGTTGCTGCTGGCTGGCTGGCTGTGACTTGGCTGCACAGTTTTCTGAAAGTTACATAATAGAACCTTTCATTTTAGCTAATCATGTTGTTGTGGTTAGCATACTGGTAAGCTAGCTATCTGTGGTCAACAGTGAGCAAATCACTCTCATATTCTTTATTGTTCATTACGTTTCTTTGCCCCTTCCCCCAGATCCCACGGAGGCTCCTCATTTGAGGAGGGACGCATTCCTCGGCGTCACGCCTCCATCCACACCTCAATGGACTCCACTCGATCCAAACAGCTGCTCAGCCAATGGAAGAATAAAAATGATAACAGGAAGCTGTCCCTGCAGGTGATGGATGGAATAAGACCAACCTCCTCCTCATCTCCTCAGAGGAACATGGAGCTACGCTGCTCCTCTGAACCTTCTGCCATGGGCCTAGAGGCAGAGCTCCGTGGTGGAACACACCTGCCTTCAGTCACTGGTCAGGAAGCAGAGCTGCGTGCTGGGGCCCACATCCCAGCTCAGTACATGAAACTAGCAGCAAGCTCTGTTCCTATGGCCAATCATAATCACCTGGCACATAATGGCAGCACCGGGTTGGCTGGTGGGGCCAGAGTGTCTATCCAATCACGACCTGGGTCTTCCCAGCTGGTTCACATTCCTGAAGAGGAAAACTTCACCAGCAGAGATCAGGAGAGTGAATCAGAGGACAGTATTATGGATGGGGGCGGGTCAGTGAGGGAAAAGTGGCTGAGAGTGGCTGAGAAGACCACCATCCCCTGTAGGCCGCTCAGTGCTGGAGGACAGCCTCGTCTAATGCAGGTTAATCATTCTTTTCTTTACCTTCCTTGGTAGCTGTATGGTTAGGATGCATACCACATAACTGCGTCCCGATTCAATCTGGCTCGGATCCTCGTTGCATGTCATACTTTTCTCTCCACTCTGCGTAATGATGATAAACTTTATTTGTAGAAACAAATTAAATTAATAAAGCAATTCAAGTTTTTGTTACATTACCTGATTTAGAAGATGCTTTTTTCATAGCATTACTAGTACAAGAGCTAGATGTCATCTAAAATCCTAAGTGTATCCCTCTCAAACAACCAAAAACATGTCCAGAGTATTGGAGTTCAACAATTTTTATTTTTATTTTAAGTGCTAGCAGGTCAAGGTCGAGGTGAAGTCTGAGACGTTGGGTTTTCAGGCTAGCACACTTTTATCCGTGGTGATGGACAGGTCTCAGCAGAGGCTTCCTTTCACCTGAAGGAACACAGGTTTGTCCAGGTTGAGCTAAAGGTAATGCCTTGACATACACTACGTGCCAGGCAAGATGTCATACATACATCGTCAGCATAGGGGTAGGAGAAGCCACGTGAAAACACCAGACATCCTTATGTAGAAGGAGAAGAGAAGAGGGCCCGGGATGGAACCTTGGGGAACACCTGTTCCTGCATCATTTAGGCGCTGATCCTTTCTACTAAGAGTGACTTGTCAGGTTGAATACAAACAGAGAAAGTGCAGAGCCCCAACATTTTATGGGTTGAGAGGAGGATCTGGTGGTTTACTGTGTCGAACAGTAGACAGTTCTGATGGTTGATCATACTCTGCAGTCTTCATCAGCAGATGGAATGCTCAGTCACTGAACTGGCATCTTCAGTTGGATTTTGTTGCAAATGGAGTAGTGCAAATAAACAGAGCTTTAGTGCTGCAGTACTACAAGATGTCACCTATATCCTTGAACTCTTAAAGTCAATATGCTTCAAAGGCTTATTCAACAATTTATGTGATAAGATCAGCAATTTATTCTTGTCACTGTAAAATTTGTATAATTTCAATGCAGGCTGTATGTTTTGTGGACAGCTGCAGTCATAGCCTTTTGCTGAAACCTTAATTGGAGCAGTAGCACCCCACGTACAAGAAGAGCAGGTTAGTCCGTAATGAGTAAGTGTCCCAGCAGCAACATTTGGAATAGCTCACATTTCACCGTCATCCTCCTGTTCCAGGTGATAACCTTATCCAAACAGCAGGGCCTGCTGCACTCTCCTCGGTCGGAGGATGGTGGCAGCACTGTCAGCTGCACCGGATCCATTCGGTACAGAGCTCTGACGGACCAGGATCCATCACCGCCGGCCTCCACCACCGGAGCAGTGGGAGGAGGAGGTCTGTGCTTCTAATAGAGTAATATATACAAACATCAATGAGCCACACTGTTGCACTGGGTGACAGTTTCCTTTATTACCACGAAAACACACACTAGTTTTATTTTGACTTAATTCTACACACACCGTCCTGCTGCCCCAAATACTCAAATACTCACTTTTTTCAAAAATGAAGAATATGGCCAGCCTTATCCTTACAGAGATAATAAGATTATTATTGATTTATTTGGTCTTGTTCTCTCAGGAGGAGGTTTGGAAAGATCTGGCAGTATAGTCCGTGTTGAAGCTCACCCAGAGTCCAGATCACACAAACCCGTGGTGAAACCCCCGAGCACCGATGGAAGTGGCTCCTGGCGATGGAAGCCCCCAGAACAACGACCTTCACTTCGACAGTCAGCTTTCGCCCTCAATGACCTGAACAGACACACGGACAGCTGTGATTCTCTAAGGGATGGAGGGTCAGTGGATGGGCGGAGGAGTGTGACAGGGACTGAAACAGAGAGCGAAGGGGGAGGAGACGGAGGGGGAGGAGGAATAGGAGGAGGGGGAGGGGTAGGAGGAGGTGTATACATAAACCATCCACATGTTGTACACCCTTTACATCACAATTTTAACCCCAACAATCCCAATAATCCCAACTTTAATAACGCTCACTTCAACTTCAACCCCAACTCTCCTAACTCCAACATGCCGTTCACCCCCCCTGCCAGCTTTGCTCCTCCCTTCCACCCCCACCCTCAGGCCATCACCACCATCAGGGTCACCCCGGTGGAGGGAACGGCCGCCAGCAGCGACGGCGGCTCAGATTGCCAGTCGGTCGCCTCGTCCAGCCGTGAGTCCACCCTGAGGAGGAAGAGCGGCTCCCACATTGTCCATGTCCCTGAGCGAGGGCCCACCCCCGACCTCCACAACAACTACCGCCACAGTGATGACGGTAACCGCCCCGACAATGAAAGCAGCAACCGTTTCCACGAAAACCTTCGAAGTTTTCAGGAAAACCCCATCCACCCTAACCTGCCAAACCACCCCAACAGGCAGATGCAGGGGATGTTTGGTCGTCCCAGTCCAACCCCTCCCCCTACCTTACCCCGCCCCATCCTGACTCACACTCCACCTCCTACTCTGGGCCTGGCCTATAAAGAATGACAGAGTTAAGTTCATCCATCGACACCTGTGATAACAATGTGTGCTACTTTCAACGGAGATACTGCTTGGGCCATTCAGAACTTCAGAAATGAAGGGAAATTGGGTTAAATCTGTCTTATAAGGGGTGGCCACAAATCCTACCCACAACCTCTCACCTGACCAATCAGGGCACAATATGTGTGTCTCCCCGCCCCAGCACCCCAGCTGGATAAATGTTGTCTTACTAGGAGACGTACTGAAGGCTCATAAAACCTACTAGCAATAGGTTCACCATCTAGTTTGAGTCACAAGCCATAGAAAGTACAAACACAATTATCCCCATCCCCAGTCTCCAACTGGCCAATAAGAAAGGACTATAGTTAAGGCTTAACATATTTGGGGTGAGTTTGATTCAACATTATGGGTTTTTTTTTATCTTGGACTGCTGTGTACACCAATTTTTTTGTAAATGTGATAAATTGAGTGCACTTGCTTCATAGGCACAAGGAAAATGGGCTAAATAAACTGATTGTCCTTTGACTCACTCTGAAGGAGAGATTCCAGCCTCCTCAGTCTGTCCCATAGCTCCCTGCCAGCGAGGATGGATTCAGCCTAATGACTCCTCTGACTGCTAGGTCAGCTGTAAATGGGATCACATTCTTATCACAACATTCATACACACAGTATATTCTCAGCTTTTATCCTGGTGTCAAACACAGGGACTGATATGTAAACCTTTACAGTGTAACCACATTAGATGGAAATTTGAACTCAAAGCCCATAACTGTGCTGTGTTTGTACATATGATTGTGGGTTGCCACGGTGGAAATTAAAACCCACGGTCTTGATTGTGTCTGGGCTACAAGGAGTCCCTTTTGGGCAATAATGGTATCTCTTACTTCATGGTGGTATTGTGTTTGTGTTGGATACGAACAATATGATGGGGCATACATTGTGTTTAAATATAGTAAAACAAGCGCTCTGTTTTTTACATGCTGTGTTTTAATGATGTGCAGTATATCAGTTATCCTTACTGTGTAGTAGCTGTACTGTACACCGACACAAGCAGCATGTTAATCATCTGAACAAACTTAGACTATACACACGTCCAAAGACTGAAGGAAGTGAAGTGTTTTGTTTTCTTCATTTTGGTTAATTTTATGAAGTTATCATGTCTCCCAGCATTACAGAGTGGGTGTTACTGCAGTTGAGTTTTAGGGAAACTTTTGGGAAAAAATACATCTAATATTTATAGAATAAAGTCATGATATTTTGAGGAAAAGGTTGCAATATTATAATAATAAAATGTATTTCAACGCCACAGTACAATATTACAAGAATACAGTCCTAACAAACAGGAAGAAAGATTGTAGTTTTGAAAAAATATTTAAATAATAAAGTGTAATTTTACGAAAATGTATACTACAATACAAAAGTTTTATTGTAATGACATTACAAGACAATGCTTTAATTTTAGTCAAAATAGTTTAAACATTTTTATAATTTACAAGAATAAAGTGTAATTCTACAAGAATGTATGATACAATACAATTTTACAAAATAGGATAACACTACAAGATAAAGTTTAAGAAAACAAAATGTACACAAGTGTAACTGTACATTAAAAGTCATAATATAACAAGAATCATTTCTTAATCATATGAGAAAAGAACTAAGTTGCAATTGTACATGAAAGTCATTATAAGAATAAAGTCATTATTTTGAGAACATTTTGTGATATTTCAAGAGCAACAAAATGTCTACTAGCTTTTTTTAGCATTGCCCAGCTGTCCATGTTGTTGCAGACTTGACATGTCTGTACTAAAATCTTTGGTGCATATTATAACTTCAGATCCTCAACAACTCACCTGTTTTCTACAATAGAATATGAATATCAAAATATATAATTTTACAATTTCAATCTCGAAATATGATTCATATTTATATTTCTTCTTAGAAAATAATATTTTTTTCATAATATTGTGGCTTTCTTTTCTGGACTTTACTCAAATTATAAGGTTTTTGCGAAATTACACCTTAATACTCATACTCTTATGACCTTTTTTTCTAACATTATGACTTTTTTTCTCACCAATTTATTCTGAAAATCAGTGGGAGCATAATATTCCTCACTAACTTTGCCTTGGTATTTTGCATGAGTGGTTGATATTATGAAGTACAAACCATTCTGACATTTCCACTCATGAATATTGGAGAAGAATAACCTTAAAATGTTATGTTTAGTGATTAGCAGACACAACACACGATTCGGACTATTTAACACACATTACTTATCATTTTCTGAGCCCAGTGTTTACATTCTGTTTAACTTAGTGCCCAAGTGCCATCAAAAGAAAAGTCATGTGACTGTGGGCTAGTCACATAGATATACTGTGTTAGTGCAGGGCTGTAATGGATAATGTAAAACTGCCTTGGGCATAGAGTTTGAAGAATTTGAGAAAGCACAATTGCTGCAGCTCGATGACAGTGGATATTTATAGCTGTGTACATATCTGTATCATTTCTGTAAGCTGCCACATGATGATGTTTCTGGAGATGATGATGGCCCTGCAAATGGCGTTGTAAAGAGCTGTGTTGTTTTTAATGGAATGCACGATAGTTAACAGGACAGGACTTATTCTAATGGTTCAACATTTATTATAGGGAGTAATTTGGTTAAACAAGCTGATATAGGTATATGTTTGAATGTGACAAATGCGTTTTATTGGCAACTCAACTCCTTTACATTCTGTTCCCTTTAACATGAAAGAATGGACACAGATTGGTCAACAAGAAACGTTGTCAATGTTTGAAGAAAGCATTCAAGAAGGTTTCTGTGCTCGTTCTTGCATTGATCTAGTTTGGTGTGTTCTTGGATTTTTGGTTCTCTTGCTGTCATTATTCTTTTTAGCTGGAGGTTTGGAGAGAACAGGCAGACAATTTGGAATTGTTTTGGAAAAATTGTGTATCACCTGTAATTACACCTAACTGAACACTGCTCACGTCATGTATTCGACGACCTTGGAATGAGGGCTGAGAAATTTGTAAGAGAAATTAAGGTGGCCACGTAACTCACGAAAAACACAAATGACCCTATCTAGAGCCAGTGTTTGGTTTTTCCATTCTGGGCTACTGTAGAAACATGGTGGTTCAATATGGTGGACTCGCTCCCTCTGTAGATAAAAACAGCTCATGCTAATAAAAACACAATTCTTATTTTCAGATGATTATACACTAATGAAAACATGCCTATGAATATTATATTCTATTTCCGCCTATAGATCCTCCTAAATGTTACACACTTGGACCTTTAATGAGCAGGACAAAGTGTGGTCAATTTTTGGTTCATGACCCTCTGGTTCTCACCCCTCAGGCTGACTTTAGAAACAGATGTTGTTTAGTTGTCATGTAGTAGAAAGTCTTAACCATTTAACAGTCTAAATTGTCTACACATAATGCACCCCTTATCCAAAGCTGATTTACCTGCCTAAATCATTTACAAACTCTTGCACTTCTCTTCTGACACATGTAAATGGTAGGATACAGTTGTATTATTATTCTAACACAGCCCGGAGGAATGTAATGAATCTGATACTCCCATAAAAGTTCATTATTTTTGCACTAATCTGTGCATACATTCTGTGAGGCCTATATGTTCGATTCCAGTCCATTTCCAGCAATTCATGTTTTGCAGTGAGACTGTTTAACATGAATACTGAGATAGACAGTAAAACAGTCCCCTTAAAAATTACTAATCACATCCACAAATGTGTTATTTATCCCTGTGTATAGCCTTGGAGAGAGAAGTATATTTTGATATGATAGATGTTGTGGAATGTGGTTTGTGATCAAACGCAAAACATTTTATCTAATTTGATGTGAAAGGCATGTCAGTGGAGTATAATTTCAGTTCAATAAGCTACCCTTACTCATATTTAGTTTCAAAATTTTGCATTTTGAGTATGGTTTTGTGTGCTTTTAGCAAGAGGAACAAATATTAATTTGATAGGAAAATTGAATGAGCTTGGTGTAGTGGAAATGAGAAGTTGATTTTGGTATACTGATGTGTCTGATTGTGTTTGCAAGGGAAACCTTTGAATTATAGCTTATTAAGAAAGGCAAACCATCAATAGTCAGAGTATTGGCAGCAAAAGCTAACAGCATGTTTATGTTCTTATGTTGTAATGTCCTTAAGCTATGGTTCTCATCTGAATTCCTTTTTTTAGTATGGTATTTTTTGCCATTTTCATTGTGGACATTGTTACCTAATTGCAGTTTCAGCGTTGGTATGTTTAAAATCATGGTTGCTAACTAATGTGTTTTGAATGAAGATAATGGGAAGTACAACTTACATGAAAGATGGCTGGATTTGATGGTTTGAGTAAGAGGATGTACATTGCAACCCCAGAATCCAAGCAAATTTGTGGATACCAAAATGGAAATGGAAAAGTTTCAAGTACAGTGATTGCATTGAAACTCCCCTTTAATGTGCAATCTGCCCAGCTCCCGGCACATGATGACATGGTGAGCCCAAGAATTAGCTTTTTGTTGAAAGAATGTCACTGCACCTGATCATTACTGCCACCAAAGTAAGGCCCAGCAGCTGAAATCAGGGGCAGAGGAAAACCACTTCTGCTCCGTCCTCTTACTTTGGCTTTTGAGTGTATAGTAATGAGATCTAGTTGTATTGTGCAATTTGCTATTACAGAAATATATTCTGTGAAATTCAGATGATATTGTATATATCTCTGAAGCTCACATTGTCGTTAGCCGGCTGTTTTATTAACTGCAGCTTGTGCACCCTGGAACTCCAGTAAAAAATGTTTGCAGCCTTAACTTATCAAATTTCAATTTAGCCCTTGTTACTATTATATGATAAGGGATTGAACTATCTGATGTTGAAGTCTTTAGTTTGGAAATGGTACTGATAATGAACTAGTTGAATGGGGGTAGCAGTTTATTAGCTTACTTGCATATTAAGGGTACCTGGATTGTTACGCTAGCAGCTACATAGCTAGCCTTCATACTACCTATTGTTACACAATAAAGCTGCAGTAGATCATTTTTATATCATATATTTGCTGCAACTTTCACTATATCCTGACAGCAGTACTTGAGACGGATAATCGGTGAAAAAATCTGGTTCCTAATTTGCAAGAATCCACCAGGACCGAACAAAAACAACCAATCAGAGCCAAGAAAGATTGTTGATTGTTGAGTCTCATTCCCAGGGCATCAAATACAGACGCTTTGGGACTCTGGGAATGAGACTCAACAATCAACTATCTTCAAGCCACCAACCCAAAGCGTCTTTATATTTTTCCAGACTCTGATTGGTTGTTTTTGTCAAGGTCCATTAGATTCTTGTAAATGCCGTTAGGAGCACTAGGAGGAGCCAGAGGAACCTGAAGTTATTTTTATAAAAGTAACCTACTGCAGCTTTAATGGCCTCCTGGTGTTCAAAGATTTAACCAGCTGGTGAAAGTTTGTTATAAAAAATAAATCAGAATGAATGTGAATGATCCACAGTTAATGTCTTATTACTAATAATCAGCTATTTTTGTCTTTTCTTTCATTGAATCTCTATTGATATGACATATATATATATATATATAGATATTTTTGATTAGTATATGTGAAAGAGAACTTTTTATATCTGCTTGTCAAATGTATTGCTAATTGCCATGGCAACCAGTTGCACTCATATGAGCGCATGGTCGGTTAAACCTTACAGTTAGTGCTATAGCCAGCCGAGAAGGAAATCTTAACACTGATGGTACTATTCTGCAACTGTCATTTGAGGATCCTGAAAGCAGTTAAACATGATTGACACTTTGCATTTCTATTGCAAGTCAGTCAGGAAACCAGCTGCTGGAATTCAGTTCATTTTCTATGACTTTCTGTGACTCACCACTGTTGCCTCACAGCAGACAGGTCAGATCAGCTGTAGGTCTTGCATGCTCTTAAAACACACTGATACACGAGAGAGCAGTTTGGTTTTTCTCATCAGACAAAGGATTCCGCCACTACGAAGAGATCCATTGTGGAATAAGATACATGTAAAGAATGTTAAGGAATAGTTCAACATTCAGGGAAATACACTTATTTGTGTTCTCTTTGAGAGTAATATGGGTAGATACTTTTTGTTAAAGTAAAAAAGAGTGTGTCAGTAAGATGGATCTCCAAGACCCTAATTTCTGCAGTAAACAGAATAAATGTTCTCGTGTCCCAATCCGGAGAGAGAACTCCAGAAAGAGGCAGCCCGAAAGGGCAGGCAGCAGAATTTGAGTGTAGTGACACAGCAAGGAGGGAGTCAGGTTGTTATTAGCCTAGATTAGTATAAAGACTAAAAGCACAGGGAAACAGCTAGCCTGGGACCGTCTAGATTTCAAAAACACACCTACCAGATTACGTAACTCCAAACACAAAGAGAAATGTGAAAATGTGTAGTTTTTAGGAGAGTTACACGCAACAACAGTTCTCTTGGAAAGAAAGTAAATTAGCGTATATCCGACAGTGTGGCACTATTTCTTTAATACAATCTGCCATCCAGCAAGACTGTAACCATGTTACTGAAATGTAAAACAATACTATTATATATCATCAGTGGTTACAAAATATTATACAGAACTGATTCTGTAAAACTGTCCAATTGAATTCTTGGTGTAGGTTTAGGTTTGTTGTTGTATTTTTTTTCTATCAGATTTATAATCAGTTGACATGAGCTACTATCTGTTTATAATGATCAACAACAGTAATGGTTTGCTGTTTCTATTGCTGTAAATAGACATTTGTATCTTTATACTCATCAGTATATCTTGTGCGTGAACCCAGACTGATGGTTTGGGTCGTTAGCTCGGTGGGAAATGCTAATGTTTAGCATAGACTAAAAGACATTTTCAACCAGGCCTGGAGCCAATTCAAGTCCATCCATCCACAACCTGAACAGATACTAGTGTCCAGTCTATAGCCCACTGATTTTTATGTACTGTTTAGTTGGCTATATGGCTGTCTCATGCCACAAATGTTACTGTAATTACATTTTGAATTCCAATTCTAGCGTTCAGTGGATTGAACCCAGGCCTCACATCTGTTTGGTACACTACAAGACTTCTAACATTTTAATAGAAAGCGTTTATTACAAAAAAAGCTGCTGTCATGTGAATGCCTTGGAACTCCTATTTAGGTGTAATTTTCCACTTTGTTTCATAATCCGGTGTTTCATTTAAAAATGCCTGTTTGTATTCATCAGGGCTGTCACTTTTTATTAGAAATTAGAAAATTTGTTTCAACATGGTTAATTTTCAAAGTGTGATGACCTTCACACAGCTTCAATCAGCTCGACCTATGGCATTGCCCTGTTGACCTCTCAGTAAACTAAGCCAATAATGTTATGTTGTTTACTACAAATATGGAGGACAGTAGCGAGCAAAGCTGTTCAGAGCAGACACTCGCGACACCAAAGTATCTGAGAAGCAGTGTGCTTCTGACTTTGCATACAATGCAGCTGTCTAACTCTACAACTACAACAAATCCTCACCCAAGTGAGGCATTGGAGCCGCAGACGAGCGGAGCAATGTCAAGTGTAAAACCTCGTCTGACTGCTACTATTTGGCACACTCGCTTCAGCAGAGCTGTGCCAGAGGCTCGTAAAAATGCCATGAAATAGCACAATTTATATGCAAAGATATGTGGCCCATTGGTGTGGTAAGACCAAATGTTTTATCCTTTAGTACAGTCTTTACATTATGTTTTCCCAAGTGGTGTCGTACAGTACTTTGTGTTTTAAGATATTTTTTTAACTTCATTCAAACGAATTGCGCGTCATTCAAAAGTCGTTTGAACATGATTTCTGGAAAAAGTGACAGCCCTAGTATAAACGCAAGCCTGGTTATCCTGAAAGACAGCTGTCTATGTTAGTCCTGACAAGTATTCTTTTTTGGAAGTTTGAAGTTTTTAAAGTTTTGGAACGTGGTTATAAACCTATCAAAGTTATAGATCATGCCGATAGTTGTAGGAAACATTGATACACACTGCAGTTATAGCTATGGTCTTCAGTATAGCTTAGACAGGCTTTGCTGCGAGACCCAGAAATGAGTAAATCAGCCTGATAAGTGAGGCCAAGAGGAAATGTCACTTGATGGAGATAAAATGTCACAACTTATATTCAGTGAGTATTTATGGAATTCAGTATCCGTGTGGTCACTGTCAGCTGCTATGTTTACATGTACACTGTTCACACTATTCTGTATATTTTATTGTGTTGTACAGTAAATGTATTGGCATTGTTGGTTCTCTTATATGCACCATACCCTTTTAGAGAGTTACTCTAATAGAGTGCTGCAGGAATGAGTCCTAGTTAAGTGACCTAGAGTTAACACAACTGACGAGATTTTCACGTTTTGTTCTACAACATAAAAAATGTCAGTAAATACCCCACCTGTCAATTTTGAAGCTTTTACATGTCTAAAAAAAGGCAGTTGGTAACAAGTGGCTAAATGACACTACAGAGGCTGATGATGATATTAAACGTCAGTACGCTGAACACTTTTTTCAATTTTTAACTGGTTATGACAGTCTCAGTTGAATACTGATGTCTCTATATGAACTACATTAACAAACACAACCATCAGAGAGAAGATTGGCATTTATATACAGTTATTCTTAGTGCCTTTATACAGTTGAATTTCCCTTGAAATCAATGAAACTAACCCCCCCCAAAAAAAGTTCCTTTTTACTTCTGGCAATCGCATTTACGCTTCAAAATCATAAAAGTCATGTTCATCTGTCAAGATTATCTTGCTGAACAAAACATGTAAGAATCAGATTTTTTTCTGCAACAACCAAAATCCAATGGAAAAATGTTGTTGAAGTAAACAGGACGATGTTAACTTCTGAGTTGGCCTACAAAAACACGCTATCCCTGCAGCTTTCTATAGGATATAGTGTATATAAGCTAGCCTTATTCAGCATAAAGCCTGGAATCAGAGGGAATCCTGGCCGTAACTGGGATCCAGATAATATGTACATGTAACGATAGCTACTGAAATGAAGTCGTCTCATACATTCTGACTGTAACGCTCTACATTTCACAAGAAAACACAGTCCGCTCATCATGTGTGGACAACAGAAGTGTTGAATCGAGGCATGTTTTATAAGTAATATTGACTTGCATTGGGACTGGGATTATTTTGTGCTATCACATCATATTTGGGCTACGTTGAGGGCTGACTGCAGTGTGACTGATAACTGTTACATTTGAACTGACTGACACGTACAAGAGTGACAGTGTACTGATAATGACAGACATCCAACAAGTATCTGTTTTCCAGTGGTGTCTCTGTAACAAAATAAAAGTTTGATATCAAATGTGTCTGTCTCAATTTGTACCTGTTTGACCTTTTATATCCCTGTCACTGTCACATATCTGGCTCCTGGTTCTGTTGTATATGACTAGTTGTCTGGAGAAAGACAAAATGTCAAAAGGCTGAAAAGGTTTGGAAGAGAGAGACATGGAAGCCTAAAAATGTTATGGTCCAGTGATTAGAATTTAGCATGGGATTTTGAAATTGTGCATGGCTGGATAACCAACTGGGAACCAACAGAACTCTAGGGGCCCTGAAAGCTCTGGGTTTACTGGGTGTTAACTGGTTTGGGCTCATTTACTTGAAACTCTGTTGGGCATGACATAGTAACGGCTTTAAAGCTGCAGTAGGTACATTTTATAAATATTAAATATATGCTGACAGTAGTACAAGTAGTACTGGCTCCTCCTAGTGCTAATGGAATTTACAAGAATCCAGGGATTAATGCAGCTATGGATATGAACTACATTACGTTTTTTAATGAAATAGGTTCCAAAGTACTGAGAAAAAAAAATTTAAAAATACGAAAAGTCTATCATCTAAGACTGGGTTTTGATTCGGATTTTCATTCCAGAAGCTACAACAATTTTCCTTGGATTTAAATTACTTTTAGCTTTTAATATAAACCTGCCCTCAACTTCCTTTTTATTTCCCCTCAGCCTCACACTTTGTTCATATTATTTAATTATATTTTATTGAGGCTTTTGATTATAACAACCTTTGGCTATTAATAAAATGTAATGGTCAATCTTGGCAGCAGATAGTTATTATAAAATGAAATGGCAAGTCAATAAAAACAGTAATTAAAACAGAGGTGAATATACAGATGTTACAGTAATTACAGATGGGTTAATACACTTTGTAATCTTATTCCTACACACTGGACCTTTAATATAAGGATTCATACTTGATTTGTTGACATTTTTTCACTCTGCAGCTATTGCTCTCTTAGTTTGTAAGTCTATTAATGCAGAGTAACTCTTCTTAGAAATGACATTATTAGATAGATTCCCAGGATCCATAACAGACAAGGGATTTTCAGATCATGTCCAGAACCTCCATCCAAAAGCGACCACATTACATTTCCATAAGCAGTGAAAGAGTGTTCCTTTTGCATTGTTATATGTGTCTTTGGGATTAACATGAAGTAGTTTTGATGAAGTTACATACAGTTGAAACCAGAAGTTTACGTACACTGACATTAAACCAGATTAAACTTTTCCTGTCAATTAGGATTACCAAAATTATTTCTATTTGCTAAATGCCAGAATAATGAGAGAGAGAATCTTTTAGACAATGTTTTTATTACTTTCTTGAAAGTCAGAAGTTTACATACATTTCATTAGTATTTGGTACCATTACCTTTAAACTGTATGACTTGGGTCAAACGTTTTGGATATCCTTCCACAAGCTTCACACAATAGTTGGCAGGACTTTTGGCCCATTCCTCCAGACAGAACTGGTGTAACTGAGCCAGGTTTGTAGGCCGCCTTGCTTGCACATGCCATTTCAGCTCTGCCCATAAATGTTCAATAGGATTGAGATCAGGGCTTTGTGATGGCCACTCCAAAACATTGACTTTGTTGTCCTTAAGCCGCTTTGTAACCATTTTGGCAGTATGCTTCAGGTCATTGTCCATTTGGAAGACCCATTTGCGCCCAAGCTTTAACTTCCTGACTGATGTCTTGAGATGTTGCTTCAGTATTTCCACATAATGTTCTTTCCTCATGATGCCATCTATTTTGTGAAGTGCACCAGTCCCTCCTGCAGCAAAACAACCCCACAACATGATGCTGCCACCCCAGTATTTCACAGTTGGGATGGTGTTCTCAGGCTTGCAAGCTTCCCCCTTTTTCCTCCAAACGTAACGATGGTCATTATGGCCAAACAGTTCGATTTTCGTTTTGTCAGACCACAGGACATGTCTCCAAAAATTACGGTCTTTGTCCCTGTGTGCGTTTGCAAACTGTAATCTGGCTTTTTTATGTTTCTTTTGGATTAATGGCTTCTTCCTGGCAGAGTGGCCTTTCAGCCCATGTCAGTACAGTACTCGTTTCACTGTGGATAATGACACACTCTTACCAGCTTCAGCCAGCATCTTCACAAGGTCTTTTGCTTTTGTTCTTGGGTTGATATGCACATTTCGGACCAAAGCACGTTCAACTCTGGGACACAGAACCCGTCTCCTTCCTGAGCGGTATGATGGCTGGACACTCCCATGGTGTTTATACTTGCGTATAATATCTTGGCTCATTTCTTTTGACTTTCCCATGATGTTACACAAAGAAGCAGTGTGTTTCAGGTGTGCCTTAAAATACATCCACAGGTGTGTCTCTAATTAACTCAAATGTTGTCAGATCAGACGAATCAGAAGATATGACATCATCATCTGGGCTTTCCCAAATTGTTTAAAGGCATAGTAATCTTAGTGTATGTAAACTTCTGATTGTCTAAAAAGAATCCTTCTCTCATTATTCTGGCATTTAGCAAATAGAAATAATTTTGGTAATCCTAACGGACCTAAAACAGGAAAAGTGATTGTCTGATTTCATGTCAGAGAGTGAGAAAAAAAAGCGTATGTGTCTTTTTATACAGTGTATGTAAACTTCTGGTTTCAACTGCATACACTCAAGCCACTGTGTTTATGTTAGCTCATTTTTGTTTGGGGGTATTTTGTTTTGTTTTTCTCTAACCAGTCAGCAGTATCTATTCCACAAATTTCACAGAAGCTGCAGTGGCATTTTGTAGGAGAAATAACTTTATGTTTTTCACAATAAATGATTAAAAAAAAAGTCACCTTACAGCAACAAGTACAACTGCACTGTTCTCATCCAAACTGACTCCATTTTTGTCACTACTTTTCATGGATGTAGCCAGGAAGGATTTTTAAAATAATGAGGTCAAGAGTACAAAGTACTCGAGCCCAATATACAGCAGTGGTTTTGGGCCCAAACACGACGAGTCAGGTCGGGTTTGGGTTTGGGCCGAGAATCAAAGCTCCAGTACAGAGTCCCCTGCCAGCAAAACTAAACCCACCTAAGAACATTTTGAAAAGCCACCAAAAAAAATGTGCTCAGACCAAATTCATAGTAGATTTTCACTTTGAATTTCTTTTTCTCACGTCAAAACAATAATAAAAGACATGGTTTGATGATGTTGTGAAGTAGCATGGGGTCATGGGAGTTGTTGTCACCATTGTTAAACAACCACCATTGCTGACTATTTGATATGATTGAGGTCATGTATTAACATTTTATCCACATTCCATTCAGTCACGTTTGCTGACTTCTTGTCTTAACCAGACATTTTAGCAATTAGACGCAAGTAGGAAATGCACCTTTACTTAGTTTTATTCTCAAGTTGAAACAAATATTAGCCTCAAAAGCCAAGCATATGTATTAGAGGTGTAAAGACTACAGTTGCGTTTTAACAGTATAGACGCATCGGTATGCTGACCCCTGGGTCGATGTACCATGAATCGGTCATAGGTCCACTGGTAAAGTTATGAATCTGTTGACTGAAGCTCAGTGCTACAAGCTAATGCGCTGGGCCTTGTAAGAGGATGACGTCTCTATTTTAAATAGGGCCTCGTCACTGAGCACAACACTTATGTGAATCAGAGACAGTGATTCAGAGGTCTGGAAGCAAGCTAGCACTCATCTAAAAAAAAAAAAAAATCTAAATCACAAATTTAAAGACATACACAAATAGTCTTTTCTGCAAAAAAGAATCTCTGAATATGCAAATGTTGATTTCTAAAGTTTTCCTGCTGGACACAAGATGTCTCCTTCTTCACTGTAAAGTCCATTCTCAGTGGATGTGCACTGGAGGATTCAAGTTTCTACATCCCACTGTACAAGTTGCATACTGGACCAGGACTGACTTCCTAACTATTTATGATGTCACAAATCCTGCTGGTAGGCCCCGCCCCTTCAAATCAGCTTTTCAGTGAGCAGGGAGCTTTCCACTTTCAGCAGATGAATGTGAAAACATCCTTCTAGTGTCAAACTCTGCACAGACATTATTCAAACAGCACACTGTAGGAACAAGAAGATACACTGATTTCTGACTGGAGGGGGCTTTAATAAGTAAAGGTCATCACACAGTAAGAAGACCTTTAATCTATTTTATCACATAGTGTAATAAAGGGGATAAAAGGATAATAAAAATGCAAAAATGTCATTGGTTCTTCTCAAAGTGATGTAGTGAAGCTTTCACGTTAAAGTTCCCATGTCAAAAAATCTTCTCCAGGAAGACTGTGACAGAGGAGGAGGAGGAGGGAAAAGGAAGTGGTTGTGTTAATAGGAGCAATTGAGACTATTAATAGCAATTTGAGTGACAGTGTTAAGGCCTAGTTATAATATTATAAGGTCATTTAAATCTGGATCACTCTTGATCACTACTGGGAGGGAGAAACACAGGGATGTTTACTGAGGCTAAACTCAGACTGTAGGTGAAAGTAGTGCAACAGCATCCGGGTTTTTGGTTGGAAAAGAGAAGCATACAGGGTAAAATGGCAACAGACAGAGGGGACAGAGACTTGTGTTCAGCAGGAAAGTCAGATAACTGATGACCTGAATACAGAGACTCAAGAAAAGGCAGACACTTGGAGGGAAGGGATAGAGAGGGGATGTGGTAATAATGACTTAGACATTCACTGGGTTGTTGATTTAAAACAAAAGATATTACATCCCCTTTATAATATTCTTACTATCTTTTTCTATCCCAGTTTACCTCCTCTCTCTCTGCTTTGCTCATTCACCCTCAATCTCTACCTACTCCCCTTCATTGCTGCTGCAACCCTGCAATCTCAGCTGAGTTTCCATGGCAATAACATGGAGGAGAGCAGAGAGACCAAAAAGAGTGGTGGTGGGAAGTAGAGAGAGGGGAGGGAGACAGAGATATGCGTTATTACACGTCTCTTAGCAGAAATGCAATATCTGTGTGTTTATTTGTGTGTCTTTTTATAGTATGTGCTTACATGTTACTTTCTGTGTTTGCACA